CAAAACTTGAAGTTCATTTTCATTTACATTCTGGACAGTGTAGTTTTAAAATTTACATTGTTACTTTTGGATTCCATGGATTATATAGAAGTGTGTTGTTTGGGTCCAAGTGTTTTGAGATTTTCCTGTTATCTTTCTGTTATTGATTTCTAGTTGATTCGATTGTGGTCAGAGAACACATTTTGTGTGATTTCAATTCTTTTTTAGTTGTTGAGATTTGTTTTACGGTCTGACATATCTATCTTGATGTATGTTCTGTGAGCATTTGCAAAGAATGTATGATATGTTGTACTGTTTTGTGTGACATGTTCTATTACTGTCAGATTCTGTTGATTGATGGTTGATTTTCTGTATGGTTGTTGCATCAAATGTTGAGTTGGGGTGTGGAGGTCTCCAAATTCATTAATGGATTTATCTATTTCTCCTCTCATTTTTATCAGTTTTTACTTCCCATATTTCTGTTGTTTTATGCATTCACTGTTAAGATTTCTATGTTTTCATGGTAGATTGGCATATTTACCATTATTTAATGTCTTTCTCTGTGTTAGGTAATTTTCCTTGCTCTGAAGTCCATTTTATACTATATTATTATTAGTCATTCCTGCTTTGCTTTTATTAATAGTTGTATGATATATTTTTTCCCTCCTTTTAATTTCGGCTTGACTATATAGTTGCATTAGAAGTGAATTTCTGGTAGCATATGGCTGAATAATGTTTTTCATCCACTCTGTCTTTTAATTGGTGTATTGAATCACTTATATTTGATCTATTAGGGTTTAAGTCTGCTATTTTATTTTTTATCTGTTTTGTCTTTTTTCTTTTTCCTGTCTTCCTGTGGGTCAGTCGAACATTTTTTAGGATTCCATTTTAATTTCCTCTAGCACTTTTTACAGTAGTCATGTATAGACATGAGAGTTGGACTTATAAAGAAAGCTGAGTGCCAAAGAATTGATGCTTTTGAACTGTGGTGTTGGAGAAGACTCTTGAGAGTCCCTTGAACAGCAAGGAGACCCAACCAGTCCATCCTAAAGGAAATCAGTCCTGAATATTCATTGGAACGACTGATGCTGAAGCTGAAACTCCAATACTTTGGCCACTTGATGCAAGGAACTGACTCTTTTGAAAAGACTCTGATGCTGGAAAGTATTGAAGGTGGGAGGAGAAGGGGACGACAGAGGATTAGATGGTTGGATGGCATCACCGACTCAATGGACATGAGCTTGAGTAAACTCCAGGAGTTGGTGATGGACAGGGAGGTCTGTTGTGCTGCAGTCCATGGGGCCACAAAGAGTCAACACAACTGAGCAACTGAACTGAACTGAGCACTTTTGAATGTATCTCTTTGTATAACTTTTTTAGTGGTTGCTCTCTATAATATATATATATATATATATATAAAATTTATCCCAGTCCACCAGTGTCATCATTTTACCAATTTAAGTCATGTATAGAATCCTTACCTACCTTTATATCCCAATTTCTTCCTCATTTATCATTTGATTGTCTTAAATATTTCCTCTGCATACATCTGGAACCATATCAGACAATGTTATAATTTTTGCTTCAATTATTAAGCACAATTTAAACACTTGGAGGAAAGCCTAACCATATAGGCTTTATCCATATTTTTATTCAATATTTCCTTTTTTAAAAAGAAAAAATCCCCTCTGTTTAAAGAATTTCCTTTATCCATTCTTTTAGGGAGGGTATAATGGTGGCAATTAAAAATTTTTTTCCCATAATCTAAGTATGTCTTGATTTCCCCTCTTTTTCTGAAAGACATTTTCATTGGATGTAGTATTCTAGATTGATATTTCTTTTAACATTTGAAAAATACTGTGCCTCTTCCTTCTGGTCACCATGGTTTCTGGTGAGAAACCCTCTGATATTCAAATTGCTTATCCTCTGTAGGTGAAGTATCACTTTTCTTTCTTTGCCTTCAGTGTTCTTTAGTTTTCAGAAGTTTGACTGTTATGTGATTTAGTGTTGATTTTGGAATTATCCTCTTTGGAATACATTCAAGTTCTTTAATCTGTAGGTTTATGTACTTTGCCCAATTTGGGAAGTTTTCAGTCATTATTTCTTCAAGTCCATTTAAAGACCTCCTCTTTCCTGACTCCTTCATGGCACTCTGATGGCATGACTGTTAAACTTTTCATTAGGATCCCATTGGCCCCTGAGGCTCTGGTGTTTGGGTTTTGTTCATTTCAGTTTGTTTTCCTTTTATGGTTCAGATTGACTAATTCCTATTTTTCTACCTTCATGTTCATGGATTTATTTTTCTTCCCTTCTAGTCTACTGTTGACCCCATCCCTTAGTTTTTATCATTGTATTTTTCACTTCTAAAATTTCCATTTACTTTTTCCTTATATAAATAAAAAGTCTGAGACTTTATATCTTTGAGGCATTCTGTTTTTTCATTGCTTCACGTGTGTTCATAATTGCTCACTGAAGCATTTTTATCCTTCTTGTTTAAAATCCTTTGTCAGATAATTCTGTTTCTGTCATCTTGGTGTTAACATTTATTGATTGTCTTTTTTCATTCAGTTAGAGAGCTGTCTGGTTCTTGGTATGACTTTCAGCTAAAACCTAGACACTTTCATATTATGTATTAGACTCTGTATCTTATTTAAATCTTCTGGTTTACTTGGCTTTCTCTAACACTGTTCTGTCTGAGGAAGGAATGGGTGCCTCCTCCTTATTGCCACGTGGAGGTACTCACATTTTATTGTCACCAAAGGGAAGGGAGATCTCCTTGTTACTTCCGTGTGCAGATGGGAGGTCTAGCTCCTCACAGAGTCTCTACTGACAACATGGTGGGGAAGGCCTTGGCACCTCTGGGCAATGGTAGAAGTCCTGACTCCCCACCAGGTCTCTTCTGATACCACCTCTTCAGGAAGGATGAAGAGAACCTTATTACTGCCATCTGAGAATGCAGGTCCAGACTATGATTGCCTCAGACATCTTGGTGGTTGGTGGGTAAGGGAACTGGTTACCCTCAGAAAGAATAAATATCTTGACTCCTTACTTGACCTTTTCTGACACCATCCTAGCTGGAATGGTGGGGTCCTCATTACAGCTTGGCAAGGGTATATTCTGTGAGCACTTGCAAATAATGTACATTGTACTGTTTTGTGTGAATTGTTTTGGCTTGTCTAGGCTCCATTAGGCCTTTGCCAACATGGGTGTGAGTGGGATCACAGTATTTTTTTTCCATTTATTTTTATTAGTTGGAGGCTAATTACAATATTGTAGTGGTTTTTGCCATACATTGACATGAATCAGCCATGGATTTACATGTATTCCCCATCCCGATCCCCCCTCCCACCACCCTCTCCCCCCCGATCCCTCTGGGTCTTCCCAGTGCACCAACCCCGAGCACTTGTCTCATGCATCCAACCTGGGCTGGTGGATCACAGTATTTTTGTGTGGTCTTTCTTCAAGTTTTCTGTGTAGCTAATCTGCCTCTTTCCTGGTCATTTGGCTAGAGAGAGCAAGTTCTGATTGGGCCTTTCTGTGTCTCTACTTGTTGGTGTTTCAGGTTAGACTGACTTAGTCTTCTTCACCTCAGAGATATATATGGCAAAAAGAAAATCCAAGGAAATCACCACAGTGTTGTTCCTCGGGATTCGAAGTGCATAGTAGATCTGTCTCCTCCTTTCCACTTCTCAGAGTTATCTTGTGTTCATTTTATATTTAATGTCCAGGGGTTTTAGCTGTATTTAGTGGGAGGAATAGGGGAAGTAGATCTACTTCATCTTCCTGAAAGCAGACATCTGTGTAAGAATTTTAAAGCCTATTTATAAACATTGTTGATTTATTTCATAAGCTGGTACAGATCACTAATAGTAATTTTAAGAGACATCTTAATTTAAGAAGTTTTCTAGTGAGTATGAGGTCCACTTCTTAACTTTATATATTTTGATGTTCCATAAAATAGAAACTGTTAATTGTTCATACATGGACTCAAAGTGTTTTAAAAGAAAATGGAGTAGAGTTGAGTGGAAGAGGCATACAATCCTTATCTAAAATTCTTGGGAACAGATATATTTTAGTATTCAAAAAATTTATATTTTATAAAACATGTTAAACATGATATGATATTGTTAAAGAAATAATCATTCATGACACTTATTAAAGAACAATAAGGCAGACTTTATTCAGGGGACCGCTATCATGGGATTTTATAGTAAGAGAGAGATCAGCTCAACTCTGAATACAAGGCAAATGGAGACTTACAGCCAAGGAGTAAGATTGGGGTTAGTTGATGGAAAATTATTGAGAGGTAAGGTAATTCTTTGCTAAACTAACATAACAGGATTTTTGTTGAAGGCAGGCCAGAGTGATATGATATTAAGGCTAAGGAAAAAGGAATTTAACCAGATATTAAGGGTAGTGAATTTTACTAAATTGACTCAACAGGACTCTTGCTAAAACTCAACTAATTGGGCCAAGGACAGCGCATGGGTCAAGGACCAGACAGAGGACTCAGAGGAGCCTGACTCAAGTTTGGTTAAAAGAGAGTCTTTGTCAACTAACAACCCCAACAGGGTTTGGTGCAGAATCTCGAAATCAAACATTTAATATTAATACTTCCACAGTAAGACATGAATATTCACAAAAGTAGGTTAAGTTAAGATTATAACTAGTGTTACTTAGTTCAGAGAAGTTATGAAAATCCTCTCTGTTTTCAGGGCACTATGCTGTATAACCAAGGGTGCATTAGGCAGGTCACAGCACAAGCAGCTTGGCAGCTTGGTCTCACCCCTCTCTGACTCGATGTACTGAAATTAATTGCATAACCTTCTGCAGGCATTTGAGTTTGCAGCCCCTCTGTCCTTAACTATCTTAAATTCTTCTAAAAATATTGAGTAATTTCCTTATTTACCCCTTGTTTTCCTAGTAACTAACTCATTGAAAATGATTTATTTTTAAAATCTGGGATTTATCTTAACACAGGAACTTCTCTGCATATTAACAGTGTTTTTCTCTCTCCTTAGATGAAGAGGAGGAAAGTGAAGAATCAAGTGAAGAAGAATCCAGCTTGGAGAGTGATGAGGATGAGTCTGGATCTGAAGATGAGGTTTTTGATGATTCTATCTGCCCAACAAGTAAGTTGGATAAAACTGTGAATTCTTTGTGATGTTTGACTATGGATGATAATACCAAAAAGATCCTCTTTTTTGGTTTCTCAATTGTCTCATAATATTTAAGGAAAGGATATATATATCCTATTATATCATGTATAATAAACATGAAGTATAGTCTAATGAATACTTTTGGGCACTCTCTAGACAATTTACTTTCTATTTCTTGAGGCTGCTATTTATGAGTACCAAATTAAATAATATGCAGACAATCTATAGTTGATTCAGTCATAAATTATGCAGATAGTTTCATTTTACCAAGAAACAGAAAATTTATGTATGTGTATGTACATGTGTGTATGTAAAAATACACGTGTATTTTTATAAAATTCTCCCTTTTTTCCAAACCATTAAATTTTCTTATTTCTTTAAGGGAAATTTTTATGTCTCCTGGAGATTCTTGGCAATTTATATTCACTGTTTTCACTGGTGAAACCAGTCTGAAATATTCTTACAGTCTTAAGATTCTTATGTGAGTGAAAGTCACTCAGTCATGTCCAACTCTTTGCATCCCCATGGACTATACAGTCCATGGAGTTCTATAGGCCTGAATACTGGAGTGGGTAGCCTTTGCCTTCTCCAGGGGATCTTCCCAACCCAGGGATCAAACCCAGGTCTCCTGCATTGCAGGTGGATTCTTTATCAGCTGAGCCACAAAGGAAGACCAAGAATACTGGAGTAGGTAGCCTATCCCTTCTCTGGGGATCTTCCCGACCAAGGAATTGAATCAGGATATCCTGCATTGCAGGCAAATTCTTTACCAACTGAGCTATCAGGGAAGCCTTAAGATTCTTATAGTCCAGACCAATATTTTTACAGTCTCAACAGAGGAATGATTCATAGGAAAAAACTATTTCTTCTTGATCTGAAATTATTTTCCTAGATATTTCAATAAATTATAAATCAAATTTTAATTTCAAATAAAGTTGAAATCATATTTTGATTTTGAAAATAATTCTAAAATCATATTTGTGAGTGAAAGAGAGCTAGAAAATATTGTGATGCAGGATTAAGCTGCTTGAACAAAATCTTGTGGCTAGGTTAGTGTTAGCACTAGGGCTGGAACTTAGATTACTAGATTCCATTGTAGTGATCTATTATATTTCCACATTCTTTATCGATGACTCCGTGGATAAATGTGGCTGTTAGTGTGGTAGGGTGAAAATTAATATACAGATACTGTACTTGAATCCTGTTCTATCACATTTCAGCTATGTGACGTCTCTTAGACTTAATGATCATCACCTGTAAAATGGGAACAATAGTTTTGACCTTGCATGGCCTGTGGGGCTTGAATGAGCTAAGGTATATAAAGCACCCATCACAAAGCCTGGCTCAGAGCATTGTTCAGAACATCAGTACTAACATCATAGCCACTACCATGATTTTTTTTAAAATATTAGCTACTCTGGGTCTCAGTTGCAGCACTGAGGTCTTTGATCTTTGTTTCGGCACGCAGGATCTAGTTCCCTGACCAGGGATTGAACCCAAGCCCCATGAATTGGGAGCTCAGAGTCTTAGCCACTGAACTGGCAGGGAAGTCTCTATCATGATTATTAATACCATTAATAATTTCTACCTGGAGCCCTGAGTGTAATGAAACTTTACTGGAGTAGATGGACATTAATAATTCTGAAGCCCCAAAGTCCACACTTATAACTATATTCTATAATGAATGGAGCTGCTTTTTTGTTTTGTCTGTCTTTTCAGATTGTGATATGGGTCTCTTTGAACTGGCCCTTCAACTTCGGGAGAAAAGGCTGGACATTGAAGAGGCTTTAGTTGAAGAAAAAAAAATGATTGATAACCTCAAAAAGGAACATGATACATTGTCAAAAAAAGTATGTTTTTCTGCCTTTTTCAGGTCTGTTTATCATCTCCCAACATGCTACACCTCCTTCTAGCCATAATACTGCCATTTCATAGCAATGGCATGAGTTAGGATTTATTGTTAGAAGAGAGACATTTCCCATGTTGCATCCTTTTACAGATGTCTTTGAGGGCCATTGCCCCTTTGATGATTGGAACTTTTTCTAAATCATTGGCCCGCAAACTTTTTTGATTACATACTTCTGGAAGTAAAAAAAAAAAATTGTGGAACATATATTCCCACAATAAATGTATATTTATTTAGAAATTATATCCATAAACTATTATATTAATTATATTTAATGTATTATGAAACATTTGCAAAAACAGAAAATAAAAAGAATAAGATAAAAATAAATAGATATGGAAACTCCCTTTTCTTTCTGGACCCCAGTAGATCACTTTGACATTCTGAGGGGTATGCATTCCTTTTGGAGGCCACCAAGCTAAACTTCTGGTACAGTTATATTGATTTTTTCTCCCATATCTACTCAGTTTCCTTCTTAGGTACTCTTTCCTAGAGCAGCATCACTTGTCTCATATTCAGAAATGTTTTTGGTAGGCTGCTTCTCCTCTTGCAGAAAGGAAATGATTTGGAAAACCTTCAAGTATTTTAGGAGATGAGGCATGTACTTTAGAAATACTGTAGTTGGTAATTTCATTACCATAAAGGGCTTTCTTTGCTTATTTATTGAGATTCTTATGACCAAGTGAGATTTGAACCATCCTTACAGAGACACTACTGGCTGAGAGATGATTTTCCAGCAGAAAATAAAAGGGAGATGGGAACACGTCCTCTGCATTTTCATTCACAAAATCTCTACAACTCTGGGGTCATAGGGACAATTGAAAAAGTGGTGTAGCTCATGACTTAGCAGAAAGAGAATAATACACACTTCTGGGTGGCAGTCTGGGATTATCTGTTTAATCCAGCCCAACAAGGCAGATCCAGCTCATATTTTTTCTTCTTCCCCAAATGGCTTCATTTATCACCTTGGATATATATTCACCAAATCTTGTCAACATCTCACACTTGGGGCTTTCTACAGGTAAAAACTGTGGCAACTAATCTGAATGCAGCAGAGGAGGCCCTGGAGGCTTATCAACGTGAGAAGCAGCAGCGGCTGAATGAACTGCTGGTTGTGATCCCGTTGAAGCTCCACCAGGTGATGGGGCTGGAGGTTGCCCCACCCTCTCTAAGCAGAAAAGCCATCACCCTCAGACTTTTCCAGAGAAAGATTCATGGGACACTGGTGGAGAGAAGGGCAGTCCTTGTCTGAGACGTCTACCTGCAGAATGACACCCCAACGTTTCTTACCCCTTCTGAGATTGTTATAAAAACATAATATCAAAACACGTATATTTCCTGGTGGTTGTTATGACTTTGAAAGTTGAATCACTTCAAGTCTGAAGCAATGAGGAGCCTATGACTTAAAGGAATGGCTTGGAGGTTGAAATCTTCTTGTCTTTTGGACACATGGCACTTTTCACACCTTCTTTAAATAGATGCAGACTAATGGTGTGAGAATTATCTTCCCTTATTCTTTACTTGAGGGAGGTTAAGATAAAAGGAAAATACTTTTCCCCCTTTTCTTTGTCCATCTCTATATCCCACTTGAATTACAACTTATATTAAAATGCAGAGATCATATCAGCAAAGGCCCCTTGTAATGCATTTTGTCAGGTAAAGAGAGAGAGCTGTATCTGAGAAGAAAAACCAAGGAGGATCAGCCTTACATTTATCTTGTTTAACCTGACCCAAACTGGATTAACTGTCTGTAGCAGTTTGCCAAATATTCCAGCCCTGAAGTGTCTGTTCCATCCTTAGGCAGTAGATATCCAGCATGGTCATTTTGGAAAGATTTGCTGTCCCAGAGGGATGTAATGTGACTTCTTTTTGAAAGCAGCTTCCTGCTTTTACTTTCCTCAGTGGTGAGAGTTAGGAGACCAAAGGTCATGACCTAACAAGGGACAGAAAAAGAAGCACACCCCTTTCTATGACTTTATATTTACTTTGGTTTTTGTCTATTTTGATACCAGTTTTGTCATGCTTTTGTAGATAGAGTATGTGCTATTTGGAGAACTACCGAGTGATCTTTCTGGAACTTTAGTCTTTTCCAACCACTCCTTGGGACGATTGCAAGAACGAATTGTCCAGCTCCATGAGGAAAATTCCAAGCAGCAAAAACTTAACAAAGAATGCCGGGAGAGGCGTAAGCAGCTCATCCGAGAAAAGAGAGAGATGGCCAAAACAATACAGAGTGAGTAGTAAGCCCATGGCTTACCTAGTAATATTTATTGATTACAGAGGGAACTGTCAAGTGGTCATCTCCAGCTCTGAAAACAGTAGGTCATCACAGATCCAAACTGCTGAGCAGAAATAACACCTTCCCCTCTTTCTACTTATTCTCTCTCCTGATGCTATCAAAAAGTTACTCTCCTATTTTAAAAATTATAAATCTTTTGTCACGGAAACAATTTCTCACAATTTTTAAAGTTTTTATGTTTAATAAAATGTAGAAAAATATAAAAAGTACCCACTACCAAGCTTCAGAAATAAAGCACTGAAGATATAATTGATGGCCTTTCTCTTTCTAGTATCATTCTGCTCTCTTCTTCCCCAGGATCAACCATGAGGCAAGTACATACATATATAGATGTATTCACACACACTATATGAAGTGTCTTTGCATGTTTTTGCTATAATTTGCAACTCACTTTATTAACCCATTTTTTAAGAGTAATCTGTAATGCTACAGATAATTAACCATTTTAACTGCTACTACATTATACCATTGGACTATAAGAGTTTTTCTTTGGCCTCCTGTTGATGGACATTTAGGGTATTGTAATTTTTCATGATTACAGACAATGTTTCAGTGAACCTTCTTGTACATGTCTCCCTGTGCATGTGTGGGAGGTGAGTCCCCAGGAGTGGGGACTCTGGGTGAGATGGGGGTGTGTGTGCATTTTCTGCTCTCCTGGGTATTGTCAAGTTGTCCTCCAAAATGGTTGCACTGTTTTCTCTTCCTACTGTTTCCCTCACCACCCGAGAGGGTGAGAATTGCCTAGGTCTCATAGTCTCATCAACACTTAGTAATGTTAGACTTTCATGTTTCTGTCAACCTGGTATATGTTAAAATTGTATTTCACTGTGCTTTTTGTTTCCCTAGTTCCTTGAGGTTGAATGTCTTCACATACACTTATTTGCCATTTATTTGTATTCTCATATGAAACTTGCCTGCTATACACCTTGCCCAGTTTTTTACTTCTGTTTTTTATTTTTCTTATTGATTGTAGGGAGTTTATTCTTTTGTTTTTAATTCTTTTCTCCCTATATTCTGTCTTTATCTATTACATGTATTTTGAATCTTTTCTAGTATGTATCTTGCCTTTTTATTTGGTGTATCTTTTTGGGATAAAAAAATCTTAATATAATTAATTTATCAATCTGTTTATATTTTGCACATTGTGTATATATGTATGTCTTAAATCCTTTCCTATTTTGAGATCATATTTTTCTATTGTTTCTTCTGTTAGTAGTGTTCCTTACTTTTATGTTCTTGGTTCACCTGGAATTGAGGTAAATAGTGTAAGATATATGGAGTAAAGACATGGAACATATATGTAAGTGATGAAGTATTCCAACTTTAATAACAATAAAATTAGGAGTGGTATAACAGCATCTACCTTAATGCTCCAGAACTGTACACTTTTTTTTTTGGCCATATCATGTGGCATGTGGAATCTTAGTTCCCCCACCAGGGTTCAAACCGTACATTGGGAGCATGGAATCATGTAACTACTGGACAGCAAGGGAAGCCCCAGAAGTGTACACTTTTAAAAGATTAAAATGGTACATTTTATTATGTGAATTTTGCCACAATTAAATATTTTTTAAAGGAAAATTTGGAAAGTAAAAAAGGAAGAATATGGTTGTCAGTCAGTCCCAGTTGCTTGCATTTGTAGAAGTCTTCAGTGAGGTGGTGGTTCTGCTCTCATGGGTGGCTGGATTATAAAATTTTAAAATACGTGTTAGAACTCTATGTTTGAATAACACTTATTTGAGACACAGAGTTTTCTCAGGTGTAAACCTTGAGGCCCCAGTGTTTCTCTCGTACTTCACATTCCTTTGACTTCTGTAGCCTGTGAATGTTGTTTATATTTGGAAATACTATTTGTCAAACCAAGGGAACAGACTAGTATGAAAATGAGGAAAGAAACTTGTTTTCATTTGAGAAAGCTCTCAGTTTGGGAAAATGTGTGAAGATGAAATGAAGTATTCATATTTTTGGAATGTTAGTTGAAATTAAAAAAAAAAGTTCTGTGTAGTAGAAATTTTATTCAGTGGTTTTCAGTTCTTCTCCCATCCCTGGTTTGTTTTCTGAAAGCAAGTTGTGGGTCTGGTTAAAGACTGATCTTCTAATTCTTTTTTTTTTTTTTTTTGATCTTCTAATTCTGAGGGTGAAACTAGGAGTGGGTTCATTTCCTATAACTCAGAGAAAAAAGGCTTAACAGTGATGAGAAACACCATAGTCACTCACTGGTGCCTTCTTCCATCCCAGACCCAATGGGGAAGAAGAGGAGAGTTTAGAACATGAGGTGGGAAGATAAGTTCTCTCCTTTTCAAGAAGAGCACAGCTTGCAGCTATGGGAAGGGGGAGTGGGGAATGGGGGGTGTTCCAGAAGGCTTTATGTCCCCAGGGAATACTACCTGTGGGAAGGGCAAAGACCAGAGTCCATGTCCTACTCCATGAGGCTGCCTTGGGAGAGGGCACCCTGATATATGGGCTAGCTGGGGGCAGTCAAGGTTCTTACTGAGGGGGCCAAGCAGGCAGCCACAGGCTAGATACACTAGAGCAAATAATCCAATCATTATTTCATTTGCATCACTAATTATCATGGCCACCACATGATGCAAGTACATGGGGGTGCCACTCACATAGAATAGAAATGAATAACCCTTCCTGGATTGTGCAAAATGGCGGTCATACCAATTATGCCTTTATCATTCAGTCATGGTAACGATTATACCTGAATACACATTCCTGCCCAGTAACTGAGTTGCATCAACTTGTTATGTTAGGGCCTTCAGACTTCACTTAGGGGATTCTGGTCATAGAAAATTTTGTTGCAAGGTTATACTTTCTTAAAATCCCACAAATGGAATTTTCTCCAGGTTTTCCAGCGTTCCCATGTTGAGGAAAGACAATAAAAAGTAAAATGTTGCATGTTAGATGAAAAGAATTAAGAAGAAAAAATTAAAAGGAGTGGGAAACAGTGCTGAGACCTGTAGGAGGCCAAGGAGGAATTCTCTGTAAATGTGATATACTTGCTAAGACATGGTTCTCCCTAGTGGTTAGAGAACAAGTCACACTTGGTTACACCTTCAGAAATGAGTGTACTGGAAATGAGTCTACCACCAGTCTCACAGCTTGTTTTCAGAAAATGGGCTGTGTGGGACCAGCCATGTGGCTATATTGGGAAGAGAATTCCAGGCAGGGTAATTCCAGAGGATTCCTTATGAGAATACCCAAGTGAGCCTGGAATGTTTGAGAAGTGAGAAGGTGTCTGGAGTAAATGAGAGAGGTGTGAGAGCTAACAGGGGCAGGGCAGGTAGGACCCTGTGAACCACTGCCAGGATTTGAGTGTTTTTACTTGGAGAAGGAAACTTCTATTCAGTACCTATTTTAGTCTTAGCACAAGATGTTACAGAGATCAGTAGTAAAAAATTAAAACCCAGAGGCTTTATAACCCATTGGGGCCCATGAACAGTCTGAACAGGAGCAGACCAGAGTGTGTAAGTCACCTGGGAAAGGTGAATCTGTTTCACATGGGAATTTGAAGTTGATGAAAAGCCAGTACAGCAATGTGCATTCTAAGTGAGGAAAGCAGTAGGTGCAGTGTCACAGAGGAAAACCCAATTGGTAACATAAAGCCTTTTACCATCATCTTGCAAAAGCTGTTCCTTAGAATGGTATTGTTCATTTAATAACAGTGGGAGCTTCTGAACAGCCTGACAGTGGTTGTCTTCTTTTAGAAATGGAAGAAACAGTGAGTCAACTAATGATTAGCAAGTTTGGCCGCGTGATCAATCTAGAAGCCCTTCAGACACTTTCTGTGAATACAACGCTTGAAGAACTAAAGATCAAAAAGCTTCGAAAGGAGCTATCGAACATAAAGGAAATGAAAATGTGGGAGGTAAGGATGAGAGGGCAGGTGACCCTCTGGGCAGAGGTGAGAACTCCTGGTGAGCAGTCATGGGGTCCCTGCAGAGCATCTCTACATCTGTGCAGCTAGAGCATCTCACAGGCTCCTGTAAGCCCCACTGAGCTCCCCCATGGTCTTAGTCTGTCTCGGCTTCCTTATCATTCACTTAATTGGAGGTACTGGTCTATCTTGGAATGAAGCACCAGCACTGGAGTCTGGGGTCCAGGATTCATGTAATTATGAGGGCAGCATGGCATGAAGGATGAGATATTCCACTCTGAGGTCTGCATTAATGTATAAATGCTGTAAGTGTTAGACATGAACTGCTATACTCTGTGCCTGTTAAGTCACTTCAGTTGTGTCCGTCTGTTTGTGACCACATGGACTGTAGCCCACCAGGCTTCTCTGTCCATGGGATTCTCCAGGCAAGAATACTGGAGTGGGTTGCCAAGCCCTCCTACAGGGGATCTTCCCAACCCAGGGATCAAACTCTGTCTCTTATGTCTCCTGCATTGGCAGGTAGGTTCTTTACCACTAGTAGCACCTGGTAATGCTCCGAGGATCCTACTTATATAATTCTATATAGCCTTTGCATGTTGTTTCCATTCTGGAAATTAGAAAAGCATCTCTAAGTAATAGATTTTGTAACAGGGTATATACTATTTAGCTGGTAGGGTCTTAAATGTTAATGCCTACACTGTTCCTGGAGCCATGAGATGAGGCAGTATTCCAGTTACATCCTGATTCAAAGAGAGGGGCTTTTTACAAAGATTTTATAAGCTCACAAATCACATGGCTTCTCTAGTTTTCTGACTTAACAGCAGATAGGGAAGGAGGAGAGGTTCCCAGTGGTATCTTTTCTTATCTAAGATTTGTCACTGTACTGTGGAGAAACAAATTACTGCAGTGCTGGTGTCAGAGGAACTGGTTCATGTCAGGGTAGTGCTGGAGATAATATGTGCAATCTAAAATAATTTGTTGGAGTAATAGGGTAACAAAGGAAAGCCAATGGCAGATGTATGGCCATTGAAGCTGGTCACCTTGAGGACTCTGGGCCAACACTGGGGGACAAGTGATACAGGAAAGTTTCTGGTTAAACAGTCATTCTCCCTTTTAATTAATGAACACCAGCACTCATTCAGCATACTAATATCCTTCTTCAGAAGTGGAGTGATATGATCTCCATCTTATTTTTGCCCACTTTCATCCTACTTATTCTTTTTTTCTCTAATCACACCTGATGCACCTGCTTCTATTATTGGCTTACTATATTTCCCCATGTGCATAGGGCTTCCCTAGTGGCTCAGATGGTAAAGAATCTGCCTGCAGTGTGAGAGGACCTGGGTTCGATTCCTGAGTTGGGAAAATTTCCCTGGAGAAGGGAATGGCTACCCACTCCGGTATTCTTGCCTGGAGAAATCCCATGGACAGAGGAGCCTGGTAGGCTTATAGTCCATGGGGTCACAACGAGTTGGACACAACTGAGCAACTAAGCAGCAGCAGTCACTGTACGTGACAGGCAGTGAGTACAATAAACATGGTCTTTAAATTCTACAAGGGCAAAGTCTAGTTTGTCAAGAAAAACTTCTGGGCTTCCCTGGTGGCTCAGACAGTAAAGAATCTGCCTGCAATGCCGTAGACTCAGGTTTGATCCCTGGGTAAGACAGATCCCCTGGATAAGGGAATGACAGCCCACTCCAGTATTCTTGTCTGGAGATTTTCATGGACGGAGGAGCCTGGTGGGCTATGGTTCATCGTGTTGCAAAGACATGGACACCACTGAGTTACTAACACTTTCACTTTCATGTGCATATCACTCCGTTTGCTTGAGGGTTTTGATCAAATCTGGACATTTGTTTTTGTTTCCTCTTTCATTCACTGAATCCATTTTACACCTTCCTGCCCTGGTAGGAAAAGATTGCTCAAGTTCGATGGGAATTGATGATGAAGACAAAAGAGCACACCAAAAAACTTCATCAGATGAATGATTTGTGTATTGAAAAGAAGCAGCTTGATTCGAGACTGAATACTCTACAGAACCAGCAGGTATGTTCCTTTTCTTTAGACCCTTTGTCAGAATTTGGGATGTTCTGTAAAGGGAGCTATTCATAAGAATACTAAGTGCTGGCTTTTAAACGAACCTTGATCTTGAATGGGTTTTGGCCCACCTGGGTCTCTGAGGACACTGAGTTGATGCTGTTTACATTACAATGAGGGAATAGCTTCACTGTATGCCTATTGGGTGCTATGAATTCAAACAGAAAGTACTGATTAAGGGATTTGCCTTGACCCTAGAGAGGTAAGGTTATTTAAGTGTAAATAACGATGTCAACATGCTCCCTGAATTTGGTGTCAAACATCCATTTTCAATATCAGGTATTTCCTTTGACCTAAAGTCTAAACCACGTTACTTATTAACACACTTGTTACTTTTTATGGCTTTCAACTTGCTCTGATAGGTTTTTTGAGGCTAACATAGTAATACTTAACACATAGTATGTTGTGGGTAATACTTATTTAATAATAGAGTTTCTATTTAAGCCTTGCCTTCTAGGAACCAAACACAGGTATGGCATATTCTAAACTGTATGCTATAATATTTTAATAGTTTCTGTAAAAATACTGTTTTCTCTTGGTTTTTACTTTTTAAGCTCCCAGGAAATGTTCTAAACCAGGGGTTTTCAAAGTGTTTCCCTGAAGAATGGCATGTGCATCCCCTGGGGAGCTTGTTAGGAATGCAGATTCTGGTTCCCCAGTCAGACATACAGAATCAGAAGCTCTTGGGAGTGGGCCTAGAATCTAGAACAAGCCTTTCAGGGGACTCTGCTGCATGCTAGAGTTGAAGAATCACTGGTCTGAGCAAAAGTCCAAAAGAAAGAATGAATAAAAGGCTTTGGGAGGTTTACTACTAGAATTAGAGAAGAAGACTAGAACCTGAATGTCAAAGACCCTTTATCCACTAGACAGTTTTTGAGCTGAGAGTCAAGGCAGTGTTCAGGAAGGATGACGCCAAGACAGAACCTTCAGAGCTGGCCATGAATACACATCTGTTGGCTTGATGTGGTTTTTTTTTTTCCCAATTATTTTTATTAGTTGGAGGCTAATTCCTTTACAATATTGTAGTGGTTTTTGCCATACATTGACATGAATCAGCCATGGATTTACATGTGTTCCCCATCCTGAACCCCCCTCCCACCTCCCTCTCCATCCCATCCCTCTGGGTCATCCCAGTGCACCAGCCCTGAGCACTTGTCTCATGCATCCAACCTGGACTGGCGATCTGTTTCACACTTGATAATATACATGTTTCAATGCTATTCTCTCAGATCATCCCACACTCGCCTTCTCCCATAGAGTCCAAAAGTCTGTTCTATACATCTGTGTCTCTTTTTCTGTCTTGCATATAGGGTTATCATTACCATCTTTCTAAATTCCATATATATGCGTTAGTATACTGTATTGGTATTTATCTTTCTGGCTTACTTCACTCTGTATAATGGGATCCAGTTTTATCCATCTCATTAGAACTGATTCAAATGTATTCTTTTTAATGGCTGAGTAATATTCCATTGTATATATGTACCACAGCTTTCTTATCCATTCATCTGCTGATGGGCATCTAGGTTGCTTCCATGCCCTGGCTATTATAAACAGTGCTGCAATGAACATTGGGGTACACGTGTCTCTCAGATCTGGTTTCCTCAGTGTGTATGCCCAGGAGTGGGATTGCTGTGTCATATGGCAGTTCTATTTCCAGTTTTTTAAGGAATCTCCACACTGTTCTCCATAGTGGCTGTACTAGTTTGCATTCCCATCAACAGTGTAAGAGGGTTCCTTTTTCTCCACACCCTCTCCAGCATTTATTGCTTGTAGACTTTTGGATAGCAGCCATTCTGACTGGCGTGTAATGGTACCTCATTGAGGTTTTGATTTGCATTTTTCTGATAATGAGTGAGTTTGGAAGTTTACCTTCTGCAATTTTCTGGAAGAGTTTGAGTAAGATAGATGTTAGCTCTTCTCTAAATTTTTGGTAAAATTCAGCTGTGAAGCCATCTTATCCTGGGCTTTTGTTTGCTGGAAGATTTCTGATTACAGTTTCGATTTCCATGCTTGTGATGGGTCTGTTAAGATCTTCTATTTCTTCCTGGTTCAATTTTGGAAAGTTATACTTTTCTAAGAATTTGTCCATTTCTTCCAAATTGTTGATTTTATTGGCATAGAGCTGCTGGTAGTAGTCTCTTATGATCCTTTGTATTTCAATGTTATCTGTTGTGATTTCTCCATTTTCATTTCTAATTTTGTTGATTTGGTTCTTCTCCCTTTGTTTCTTAATGAGTCTTGCTAATGGTTTGTCAATTTTTTTTATCTTTTCAAAAAACCAGCTTTTAGCTTTGTTGATTTTTGCTATGGTCTCTTTTGTTTCTTTTGCATTTATTTCTGCCCTAATTTTTAAGATTTCTTTCCTTCTACTAACCCTGGGGTTTTTAATTTGTTTCTTCTCTACTTGCTTTAGGTGTAGAGTTAGGTTATTTATTTGACTTTTTCTTGTTTCTTGAGGTAGGCCTGTGTTGCTATGAACCTTCCCCTTAGCACTGCTTTTACAGTGTCCCATAGGTTTTGGGTTGTTGTGTTTTCATTTTCATTCATTTCTATGCATATTTTGATTTCTTTTTTGATTTCTTCTATGATTTGTTGGTTATTCAGAAGCGTGTTATTTAGCCTCCATATGTTTGAATTTTTAATGTTTTTTTTTTTTTTTTCTGTAATTGAGATCTAATCGTAGTGCGTTGTGGTCAGAAAAGATGACTGGAATTATTTCAGTTGTTTTGAATTTACCAAGGCTAGATTTATGGCCCAGGATGTGATCTATTCTGGAGAAGGTTCCATGTGCACTTGAGAAAAAGGTGAAATTGATTATTTTGGGGTGAAATGTCCTATAGATATCAATTAGGTCTAGCTGGTCCATTGTGTCATTTAAAGTTTGTGTTTCCTTGTTAATTTTCTGTTTAGTTGATCTATCCATAGATGTGAGTGGGGTATTAAAGTCTCCCACTATTTTTGTGTTATTGTTGATTTCCTTTGTGTGTTATTTGTTGTTTCTCCCTTGCTGCTTTTAATATTTGTTCTTTGTGTTTGATCTTTGTTAATTTGATTAATATGTGTCTTGGGGTGTTTCGCCTTGGGTTTATCCTGTTTGGCACTCTCTGGGTTTCTTGGATCTGTGTGACTGTTTCCTTTCCCATTTTAGGGAAGTTTTCAGCTATTATCTCCTCAAGTATTTTCTCATGGTCTTTCTTTTTGTCTTCTTCTTCTGGGACTCCTATGATTCGAATGTTGGGGCATTTCACATTGTCCCAGAGGTCCCTGAGGTTGTTCTCATTTCTTTTGATTCTTTTTTCTTTTTTCCTCTCTGCTTCATTTATTTCCACCATTTTATCTTCTACCTCACTTATCCTATCTTCTGTCTCCGTTATTCTACTCTTGGTTCCCTCCACAGTGTTTTTGATCTCATTTATTGCATTATTCATTTTTCATTGACTCTTTTTTATTTCTTCTAGGTCCTTGTTAAACATTTCTTGCATCTTCTCAATCCTTGTCTCCAGGCTATTTATCTGTAACTCCATTTTGTTTTCAAGATTTTGGATCATTTTTATTATTGTTTTTCTAAATTCTTTTTCAGGTAGATTCCCTATCTCCTCCTCTTTTGTTTGGCTTGGTGGGCATTTTTCATGTTCCTTTACCTGCTGGGTATTTCTCTGCCTTTTCATCATGTTTATATTGCTGTGTTTGGAGGGGCCTTTCTCTATTCTTGTGGTCTGTGGTTCCTTTTTATTGTGGAGGTTTCTCCCAGTGGGTGGGGTTGGACGATTGGCTTGTCAAGGTTTCTTGGTTAGGGAAGCTTGCGTCGGTGTTCTGGTGTGTGGAAGTGGATTTCTTCTCTCTGGAGTGCAATGAAGTGTCCAGTAGTGGGTTCTGAAATGGGTCTATGTGTTTGGTGTGACTTTGGGCAGCCTGTATGTTGACGCTCAGGGCTATGTTCCTGTGTTGCTGGAGAATTTGCGTGGTATGTCTTGCTCTGTAACTTATTGGCTCTTGGGTGGTGGTTGGTTTCAGTGTAGGTATGGAGGCTTTTGGATAATCTCTTATTCCTTAATGTTCCCTGTAGTCAGGAGCTTTCTGGTGTTCTCAGGTTTTGGGCTTAAGTCTCCTGCTTCTGGATTTCAGTCTTATTCTTCCAGTAGCCTCAAGACTTCTCCAACTATACAGCACTGATAATAAAACTTGTAGGTTAGTGGTGAGAAGATTCTCCAGAGTGAGGGACACCCAGAGAGGTTCACAGAGTTACATGAAGAAGAGGAGAGGGAGGAGGGAGATAGAGATGAGCAGGAGGAGAAAAAGGGGGACTCAAGAGGAGACAGACAGATCTACGCAGTTGTCTGTTCCCGGAGTGTTCTCCATAGCCCAGAACACCCACAGAGATTCACAGAATTGGACTGAGAAGAGAAGGGGGAGGGAGGAAATAGAGGTCATCTGGGGGAGAAAAAGGAGAGTCAAAATGGGGAGAGAGTAATCATCACACTCCTGAGTAAAAATGGGTACTGAATATTGGATTCTTAAAAGTCCAAAATTGATATCAAATACTGAAAAACAAAGATTAAAAATCTAGAGTAGAGGTTAGACTCTTAAAAATACAATATTAAAAACAAAAACACAAAAAATTTAAGAAATGTATATGAAGTTTTCTTTAAAAATAGGGTCTTTTTTTTTTTGCAAGGTTATAGTGAAATGAAAATGAAAATTATGGAGTAATAGAGGACTTTAAAATAAAATAAAATAAAATAATAAAAATTTTTTTAAATTAAAAAAATAGTAAAAATATATGAAAATGAAAATTAAGGAGTAATAGAGGAGTAATAGGGAATTTTAAAAGAAAATAAAAGAGAAAAAATTTAAAAAAGAAAAAAAATTAAAAATATATCTAGGAATTTCTCTGGAGCTGTTGTGGGCAGTGTGGGTTCAGTTCAGTTTCAGATAGCTCCATGTTCCAGCTTATGCTTCTTGATATCTATAGGCCTCTTCCAGTGTAGTCGGTGTTAACTACAGGTATTTTAATCTGTTGCACCTGTCACTTCCTAAGCAATTCCCTTTGTTTATTTGGCTTCTGTTTGCTGGTCTCTTCAGTGTCTAATTTCTGCCCTGACCCAAGCAGGCAGAGGTGGTCTCTTGTTTAGGTTTGCTTGTTCAGTCATACTGTTGGGAGGGAGGGGCACTGCAGGCAAATATCACTGACCTGTGTGGGGAGCACTCGCAGTGTCCGGCCACACTGGGTTTGCCCCACTCACGGCGCGTGTGCTTTCCCTGTCTACACTGCTCAGGCTCCAGGCTGCTGTACAGGGAGTGGGCCCTGAGTTGCGTGCGGTTCCAGTTTTGGGGTACTCCACAAAAGCCCAGACTCGGTTGGGCCTGCGTTTTGTGCCTTCCCTGGCCCGAGCAGCTCATGCAGCCAGGAGCTTGACGGGCACACTCTCCCGGGGTGCAGTGCACCTTATCCCCTCTCTGGTCCCAGCCTCAGTTTCCGCGCGTGCTGGTTGAGTGCGCCTTGTCTATTCTGGGGAGGTGGTCTCTAGCTGTGACCCTACCAGCGGATGTCAACCATCCAGAATCTCAGGAAGTCTTTGGTTAGAAACTGGAAGCCTGTTTGCAGTTTGGTAGGGGATGCCTTCTCTGGAGCCGAGTTTGCCCCTTTTCCCCCTCCCCCCTGCCTCCTGCCTCCGCGGGGGATGGGCCGGTCCACAGCCAGCTAGCTCTTCTCTGGAATTGCTCAGTCCTTCCTTTGTTCTGTGAATGGGCTGGCAGTGTGTTCGGTTAGCGCTTTTCGCCGGTTAATTTTCTCTCTCTGCTATCCCACAGTTTAAGTTGCTATCTCACATTAGCTCCCTCTGATTGCCCTCAGGGCATTCAGGCCTGGCCCTTACTCTAAGCAATGCTGCCCGCTCCTCTCCGTTCAACCCCCACTTGCTGGTGGCAGATGCGAGTGTCTGGGGTACTTTTCTGCTGGGAGTTGCTTTTAGGTATGTAATCTGTGGGTTTTATTTATTTTTCCTCCCAGTTAGGTTGCCCTCCGAGATTCAAAAACTTCCCCTGGGCCCACCAGTGAGAGGGTTTCCTGGTGTTTGGAAACTTCCTCTATTACGACTCCCTTCCCGGGACGGGTCTCTGTCCCTAGCTCTTTTGTTTCTCTTTTTATCTTTTATATTTTGTCCTACTTCCTTTCAAAGACAATGGGCTGCTTTTCTGGGCGCCTGATATCCTCTGCTAGCAATCAGAAGTTGTTTTGTGGAGTTTACTCAGCATTCAAATGTTCTTTCGATGAATTTGTACGGGAGAAAGTGGTCTCCCCATCCTATTCCTCTGCCACCTTAGCTCCTCTCCCCAGCTTGATGTGCTTTGAACATCCAGATACCTTGGCAAGGAACGAGTTTGGACCCAGGAGCTCAGGGAAAGAAAATTATTACCTGGGTCTCTTTACATAGTATTACTTAATAGCTTTACAGGTATGGTCTCATTCCATTGGCGAGGTCACTGAATCTTCAAAATATCGATTTTCAAAGCTCAGAGTGGTCAACTAACCTGCTAATTAATGTGTGGAGAAGTTTTTTTTTAAATGAGGTCTGTCTGCTTCCCAAGCTGACTCCACTACTATTATTCTTACAACACTCTAGGCATGGAGTGGGGTGTAGATGGCAAGGCCAAAGACATTTCAAAGTAAGAGTAGCCAAAATTTGTTTGGATATGGTAAGGAGAATGAGGGAAAAGCTATGGTGACTTCAGGGTGACCATCTAGACTGACTAGGCATAGGTGGGGGGAGAGAGGGGCACGCATTTAGCTATAAGTAACAAAAGAGAGTAGCTCAAACAAATAGGGGTGCTTTTCTTCACTTAAGAAGTCTGCAGGAGACAAATGAGGGGTTTTGGTTTATTGGGCCATGATGTCATGGCCGGTATCTCTGTGATTCTCTCAGTGACTGGTAGAAATTCCCTTCAGAATCACAGAGGCTGCCTCAGCTCTCTCATTGATGCCCGAATGCCAGCCTCTTGTCCCTTTCATCAAGAAAGCAAGCAAATGTTTTCTGCTACATCTACTGAGCCACTCCCAGCTGGAAGAGGAACTGGGTAAGGTTAGTATTTAGCTTTCATAGCCTCTGCAGTGAAGGTGGGCAAGGGGGAAGATACGAGGTGTTATGTCTCTTCCTTTAATGTGCATTCAGATTTAGTGAGAATCTACTTATGATATGAGCTATATAGGAAAAGGAGATATCTTACCTTAGAATTCCAGTGATGATCCCTGTAGGGTATGAGTGACTGATAGCTAGCTTAATCAGATACCCTCTAAAGGGGATTTTTGCATGTAAGAGTTGCTTATTAGCACAAAGGGACACATTTCCAATGGTGGGATTTCCGAGGAAGAACTAAAGGGTTCTTAAAGAGCGGTGGCTATTTTAGATTGACTGCAAGGCAGGCACACCTAATAGAGCAATGAAGACAGAGAAGTTTCCATATTCCAAATGATGCTTAAAGCAGGGAGTTGTTTTCTCTCAACAGGGCAATGCCTTCCAGGGCCCTCGGAAAGCAGATACTGAGGCAAGAGAAAGGGTCACTGAACTGATCCAAGTCCAAGCCGAAAGGATTCAGGCCTTAAAGGAAGAGATTGCTCTTTTGCGTAAGAAAGGTGGTCTCCTCCTGCCCCCGATTCATCGCCCACAAGAGAATGAATGAAGTCCCCGGGGCTTTAACTTTGCTTTTTCCTCATATCCATCCATGATTTGACACACAATTCAACAGAAGTTCTGTTTCCTCATTGTCTGCAAAAGTCTAAAACCAGAGCCAGTCATGTAGTTTTAAGGATTTCCCCCCAAATGGTTATCTCAGAACTGACTGTAATGCTCAACAGCTACTTATATTGAACTGAATCATTTTAGATGTGCCTGGAACCAAATGGATAGAATATAAAGTCTCAGGAGGCGGAGTCTCAAACCATCAGAAAGAATCAGTAATATATCCTGTTTTGTAAAATTTGGTTTTTGGTTATCTGAATGTTTAGCCATTGGCAAGAAAATCTATCATTCAGCAAACCATGAGAAAACCTCCTTTTCTTGATGGTTAAATCCTTGGAAAATAAACTTCGTTATCTGGTATTCTCTGAGAGGACACAAGAGAAAAAAACCATTTTGCCAACAAACAATATCTGGGAAAAAGAAATGCAACTTAGAATTCTGACATTGTTAACTTCATAAGTCAGTTATTTGAGGGCTCAGGATTCAGGAATATAAAGAACAGAGCAGTTGGCCTTTGGCTGGCATAAAGCAAGAAATAATCAGCTTCCTGAATCACCCAGAGTTTTAGCAAACTCTTCAGCTCTGGGTGGAGCAGAGAAGTGTATTTTGCAGAATGGTTAAAAGGAGGCTCTTCTCTGAAGGTGACTGCAACTTTACCAGCATTTCCTATAGTTTCTCACATCCTGTGCCATTTTCCTTCTGGTTCTACTTGTGTCATTTGCTGGCTTTAATACAGATAAGGAAGTAATGAAATAGATTCCATCACTGAGAGATCTCTAATAATAACTTTTGATTGTATGTAACATTTTGAGAGTATCCATTTGGTTTGGGGGTAAGTGGTCATTGGAATTCATCTAAGGATGATTTCACCAACAGTTAGATTCCTGTTAGTAATAGGTCTAACAACAGGTCCACTTTAATGACAGCCTCTCTGGAGGCTGTCCAAGAATATGAATTGGTTATTGAAAAGGAAAGGTAAAGAAGGCAATACTGCACCAATGTAGAAAGTGACTCAGCAAAGTCAAGTCTTCCTAACCTGTGGCTAGCCTGCTGATCTGCCTACCAAAATTATAAACAAGACTTGGGTTCTTTGTTGGAATACATATATGTTAGAGGTGGCCACCTGGCCTGCTGTGTCTGAGATCCTTTCATCTTCCTATTTAAGAAGTCCAGATAGCTTACCATTTGTGCCTGTCAGCACAGAGCTCTGATGCATTAGCCTCTCTACTGGACAGCACCCTTTACCACCTTCTCTGTTCTTCGCCCTAAACTATGTGTGCCCTTCAAGTATTTAAGAAAAATGTGCTAGTCTTAGCTCTGAGTGTTTTAACTTTTATGTAGGAATAAGTAAGCAAAACAACATCTCACCCAATTTCTAAGGGTCAGGAATCTGGGAGCCACTTAGCTGGACATTTCCAACCTGCATCTCCCATGGAGTTGCAGTCAAACTGTGCATTGGGGCTGTGTCCATCTGAAGCTTAGCTGGAACTGTAAGGGATACCACCAGACCTACTCACTCAACTGGCTGGCCACCCACCACCCTGAGCAGCTGCCTGGATACAGTGAGTAGTCCTGGAGGGGACACTGCCCCTTGTTGTGGTGAGAGCTAGGGTAAGTTCCACTATTTTCCTGGGCCTCATTATCAGATAAAGGAGAGATTTAGATAAGCTCTGAGGATTCCTGTCATTCTAAAATCCTAATTAAGAATGAATGAATTCAGTCTATAGAAGAGCCATGTCAAGGATTCATGTGTCTATCAACTTAGGAGTAAAACCAGTCAAGATTACTACTTTTTGTCCAATTGAACCAGAAAAAATCACCAAAGTTTACAAATACTAAGCTTTCATACAGTATGTTTGGAATTTGACAATACAGTTAATTCATTCTTACTTTGAATTAGTCAAGAAATAGAGGTAGCTTTAGTTTAATTTCATTGATCCCAGGCTTAGTCTTGCATCTATAACTAAGTGTGAGCAACTGAGTCTTTGGGAGGTTTAATATCAAACAGGAGAGCACCAGGGTGCAGACTTGACTAGGGATAGATGGAAAGCTGTCCTAGTTTCCTAAGCAAACTGTTTTCTGCCTCTTGCTGTGCCCTTAGAGAAGGCAGCTACCTTTGAGAGGCCAAAAATCAGTCTAAGTTTTTGTGGGTCAGTTGTTATCATTAAATATCAACATTGAAAGAAAATGTAGAGTCCAGCCCTTCTGTCAGAACTTCATAGGAAAATGAGTTACTCATTTTGCCAAGACAGTCTATTCTGTTGGGCAGCTTAGGTCTCCTAGCCAAGAGCTGAACTCTGCACCCTCACTAGCTCCCACACACCTAAGTCTTACTCTTCTTTTTGATTGTTGACTGAATCAGACTTTTAAAAGACAGTACAGTAATTAACCTGAATCTAAAGAAATGCAAAATGCAATGAAACTGAATATATAAGTTGTTTTTTCTAGGTTAAAATGTAAAGGCCTGGTACCCTAATCTTTTCCTGCAATTGGCTAAATATGCACATTTATCTTGTTTAACCTGCTTTAGAAGTGCCTTTTCTTTCCCAGGACTTTTCTGGGGGGGTAAAAGCATTCAGTGTTATTTAAAACTACTTTCTGCACAGCATTGGAACATACCACTTCCATCCATAGCATTCACCAAAACTTACTTTGACAACCATTGAGATCAGTAAGCATTAAAAAAAAAAAACAAAACAAAATGAAGATTTTAAAAAGCCAGTGGGCTAGGTGAGTTACAGCCCAGATCTGAGAGGTGAGGCCTGTCCCCCTCCTCCTCTAGGCCTTCCATGCCAGATTTTATCTGAAGTCACAATCCTGCCTGAAGTCTTCTCTTCCCTGCTTCTTCAATCTTGTCTGAAGTCTTCTCTTCCCTGCTCTTTTTCTCCTTTCCTATAATTTCCATATTCCTTATAGTCCTTCATTTCATTTCTTAAAATATTTTAAAAATACTGCTTTTCTAAAAACCATGTTCCAATTTAGCTGCTGGATAGAGAAAGGCTGCAAGAACCTCTTCTTGTCAGCAGAGGGTGCACTTGTCCAGAACCATCAAAGTCACTCCTGGGGCTTTCCTAGGGTTTTGTTTATCCAATTCGTGACTAGAGTGTGAAGCTAAGGTCTACAATTGATGACTCTTAGCGGGATTAAGTGTCTCAACTGGCATTTCATCTGTAACTTAATTCTACTGAAATCTAGAAGATACATTTCCCTCCTGAAAACAGTTAAAAGTGTGTTAGGGCTCTCAGCAAAAAGCTTTGGCCTCCATTTTACCACTTGTACATAGAAAGGTTGATCCTGCGGTTGGAGGGCAGTGAGTAAATGTTCATTTTAAACAACTAGTGAGTCAAGTCCTCTGGCTACGTTGGTGTGTCTTTGGGAAAAAGGGAAGTGAATTTTACCAGGCACCGTATATTCAGGTGTAGCACAGAACTTCACTAAATGGTATTTTAGAGAAAACACTTAGTCAACACACACCTGCAGAGAAAAGATGAGTCTCATTCCTTCAAGCTGCCCAAAGCTTTACCTCAAGTCCAGTCAGAGAACAGTGAATCGTCTTCTCCTCGCCCCAGAGTACCACATCTCCCTTTTGGACAAACAGTTACCACACACCTGCATTGATGAAAACACAACTGACATTCGACATTTAAAAGGACAAAATCAGAAATGTTTGCCGCCTTTTCCAGATCTCTCCTTGACGGATCTGAAAATGTTGCCAAGTGGATGTTTCTTCAAATACTCAGACTGAATCCTAACATCTGAAGAGAATGCTGACTCATACATGACTAAGCTGAAGGTTATAGGGAAGACTAAACATTTATTTAGATGTTACAGTGTTTATTTTTACAGAGATATGTTGTCACAGATTATTGCTTCTGGAAGGTTTGCTAATGCTCACAGTACTATACACATCTCAGTCTATCTCACAGGCATCTCGGGAAAACGTTGCCAGCAGCACCAGATCCAGCCACTGTCACGGGTGGCTCCAGCTCTGATGCCATGCCTCTGGCTTTGCTTCTCTCATGGTCACTGTGGATGGTGTGCCTAGGAGTCCTCCTTCCACAGGCTTTTCTGTGGGTCTGCTGCAGCCCTCCCTGGGCAGTGGCACAGGGTCCAAGGAAAATGTTGCCTCCTCAGACTGTGTTGCTCTTCGCCTGTTGATGCCTGTTATGCTGTGGCTTGTTTTCCATCTCAGACCTCAGTGGGGAGGACTTGCTGTGTCTCTCCAGAATTACGAAAACATATACATTTATTTACAAGTGCATAAATATATAAATACGGCTATTATAGAAAAATAAATACCAATCTCCTCTCTTTAAAAAAAATAATATATAGTCTTTGTGGGATATCAGCTTCTGCCTAAATTGTAGGAGGTGGTGTTTCAAAAGACATATGCACTGGTGGGCTGGGGGAGAGCCGCACCCCGAGTTCCTGCCCCGCATAGGCCCCTGAGGGGTGCTGGGGACACCAGTCTCCTTTCCCCACGGGGCAGGAGTCGGGACTGTCCACCTCTTCAACCGGCACGAGGCCCAGGCAGCATGGGGGTCCTGAGGGGGGAGAGAAGTGGGAAATGTTAGGGTCCAGACTGACCAGGAATAGTGCTCACTCTCTGGAACAGGAGCTGGCTACACTGGCCTTAGAGGAGACACAGAGACCCACAGCTATCAATACACAAGAACAGCTGCACTCCCTCTAAGGACAGTCACAGACCTGGCATGGTCCACTTCTTACCCACTGTCCCACCTGCACTTTTCAGTGGTGGAAGCGGGAGACCCTCCTGCATTTACCCTGTAACTGGGGGTGGAAATGAGGTGGGCTGAGCCCAGGAACTGTGCAAGACAATCCTACTCTTTTCAGGTGTGGGCTGCCGGTCCAGCCTCCCCATGCTTTCTGGCCATGATTGTCCCACTCACAACTCACCCCCCAGATGGAGGGAGGCCAGTGTGGATGCTAATGGGGTCTGCGTCTCGGAGGTGCCTATATTGGAATTTATGTCCCAGAGCCAGAGTCTAGGATCTGCATGTGACCTAGCATCCACTCCATGAAGGCTAAGAAACATCAGCTCATTCTCTGAACCAGCCTGTGCCCAACCAGGTATCAAAAAGATGGGCACAAAGAAAGCCAGTGGCTGGGCTCGGGGGCGCTGTGCATTGAGTCCCCTGGAGGGAAAGTCTGGTGGAAGCACAAAGTTCTATGATGTGAGAACTTGGCTTCTTAATGATGGGTGCAACCTCATTCCTTAATAAAGACATAGGACCCAGCAAAGCAAGGTGTTGCAGAGTGATGAGAAAGTGCCCCTTGGTTTGATGAGAGGAGCAGCAGGAATTTGCAAATTGCCTTGAAATGCTGAGACCACAAAGGTTTCTTTCTCTGAAATGGAGAAGTACCCTTTCTCCGTCTCTGTCAGCTTGAACCTGACACCCTCCTGCAGATCTGCTGGGCCTTCAGCAGGGAAGGAGGCAGCCAGCTCCCCTTCACACCCCCATCCTGGATATACAAGCTGTGGATGGTCTTTACCAAGCATTACCCTCAAGCATCACTGTTCTCTCCCTGCCTCCATGTCACTCCCGGGGCATGGATGTCTATCTTATTCTGCTCTGCCCTTGGCACTGACCTGGGTGAAAAACAGGGTCCCACATGGCTTCCAGCCCAGGACTCTGGAGTACACTCCTCATGCCTGGCTGGCCCGTGGCTTCAGGCTGCTCCTGGAGGTGGTGGCAATCGTGGTGTGGCGGGAGCAGCTGGTGAGCTGAGTCATCGGGCAGTGTATACAGGAAAGCGCCCTCATCTGGGTTAGACCTGGGTGCTCTGCATGCACATAAGCAGATGGGGGGAGGATTGAGGGAGGGGAAGAGTGGGCCTGGATCCCACATTCCTGGCTGCTTCCCTGTCTGTGGGCACCAGAGCTAGGCAGAGCTCAGATGGGGCAGGGGCTGCTCCCCTCTGGACATCAAGAGTGCCACATCATCACTTGCATGGGCAAGTCTAGTCAATATCCATTTGATTCCATGTATGTCCCAAGTATGTGAGAGGATGTGGAGTCAGGTGCCTGTGGATATAGCCAGCTGTGTGGCGCTGCTCTGGACTGACAAGCAAGGGGAGAATTTCTGAGCAGAAAAGGCATCATAATTACAAAAACAACTCCCCCTCAGGCTCAGAGTCCAGTGGAGCAGGCTGTCACAAGAGGATCCCTGAGGGGCGCAATAGGGCTCCCCTCTCAGTGACTGATGCCAGGTCTGGGAAGCCAGGGAGAAAGCGAGCTCTGGGGCTCAGGAGTGGGAGGCCGGGGTACCTGGGAATCTGTGGACTGTGGGGGTCGAATCCACTGCCAAGAAAGGTCTGCCTCAGCATGCTGTTCACATCCTCCTGCTGCTCAAAGGGTGATGAGAAGGTCACATCAGAGTCCAGGTAACTTTCCTGTTCTTTGTTCAGCAGCCCAGGATTGAGCCTGGGAGGGAAGAAGTCCCAGGAGGTGGCCCAACCACCCCTCTGTGGCACCCCATACCTGTGTGCCCACACTGCTCCCAGAGCCACGTTACCTGCTGAAGCTCCCCTGGACAGTGCTGCTGTGGCTTCATGCCTGGGTAGCCCACGGCAGCTACAGGGCAGGCCCTGTTCATGTATACCCCATTGGCACAGGCCCGGCCGTTGGTGCCACTGAGGTAAGACTGCCCACTGGCTCGGTGGCCTGGGAGCCCTCCCAGTGGTACCATAGTATATTGGCAAGAGGAGGACAGAAGGGCACTTTGAGGAAATCCCAGGTCTGTTGTATGCTCTGGAAGAACACAAGACAGAGCTATGTTTAGGTCAAGGAGGCCTGGGGAAGCTGGTAAAAAAAGTCCCATACGAATCTCAGAAAACTCCTGAGGACTTAAGGTCAAATGAGGTAGGCAGGGAATTGACTCTGCCCCAGGTGAGAGAATATTCTCTCGGAAAATTCTTCCTGTCACCCACTTCCTCACAGCTAGACTTTTTTTTTTTTTTTTTTTGCAGTAGGAGAGATATAGGACCAAGGTCTGGGAGAACAAAGTGTTAAGTGAACAGAAGGAGCGCAATATTTAAATGAAGCAAGGTGACCAGATGTGTTGCCATGTGAAGCAGAACTCAGTGGATAACTCAGATTAACTGAGGATTAGGGGGACAGCTCAAGGCAGCCGCAGACCTGAGGAGGCAGGAAGAGGTAGGGTCAACGTATGGTCAATCGGCAGCTTCAGATAGTAAAAGGAGACAGACGTAGGTAAGTGCTGAGCTCCAGGGATGCAGCGAGGACAGACAAACTCCCATTCTATCCCCTACCTTCTAAGACCTGTGAGCATCTTCTGACTCTCTCCCATCCCTCTGGAGGACCCACCAGGAACCTGAGCTCCCATCAGTGTGAAGCAGGGTGCCGGGGATCCAGCCCCCTGGGATCCAGGCAGAGGCCTCCGTGGGGGATGGAAGGCCCCTCCTCCGCTCTCCCTGCCCCGGGCTCCTTCCCCTTGGTGCTGAGGAGGGTCACTCACTCACTTTGCTTAGACCAGGCCCTCCACAAGCAGAAGGGGATGAAGGCAACGATGATGAGGACGATAGAGCCCAGGACGACCCCAACAATCAGGTAGGGCAGGTCGCTGGAGCGGGCCACCATGGCCCCCGTGCCCACTGGCCGCTCTATGGTTTCAGGGGGTGGTGGCTGAGGTGGGGCCAGAGTTGGGGGTGGAAGTCGACCAGGCTGACCTGCAGACTTCCGAGCTGTAATGGGGACAAAACTCACATCAGCCTCTATTTCTTTGACATTGCTTTCATGACAAATAGGACAACAATACCCTGATTCCACGGGTGTGAGAAATGGGGTCAAACTCTTAAGGCAGTGCCTCTGGCAAAGGAGTGTGGTGTCCAAGCTCAGAATGAAACAGACATCTAATGTGAAACTGGGTGTTGCTGAAGAAACTTGACCCTTATATTTCAAAATACATCCTGAAATGTTTATGGATCAATAGCTAGGGTCAGGCTGGGTCTTTGGGGAAGAACTGATATAGGGACTTTCTAAACAAATAGCTGGGGATCTTTAGGAAGAGCATATTAAAAAATGCATGAAACCAAAAAGAACTGAAAATGGAAGAACTTCCATGTGAAGCTGCTATTCCTGGGCACACTGGAGATGCAAAGTCCTGGGTCTGAGCTGGGATATGGGGTTTGGGCTCCCTAGGACCGACAGTGCTTGGGAAATACCAATCCAAAGTCCATGAGGTGGCACCTCCTCATCCTTGTGCTCTCATCAAGGTGTGTCTGACGTCAACTCCTTTTCCCAGCTGTCTTTTCCCTGAGTTTCTAATACAACAGTCCTCTGGGGTTTCCCACAACCTCTCTGAATGCTGCTGTTGCTTGTATTTCTCTCTCCTTGCCCTTTTCTTCCTGTCTTTGCTTCAGACACCAAGAAGTCCTCCTGGTCCCTCTCAGTCTACACTCTCTCTTCTTCACTCTATTCTGTTCCCACGATTTCAGCCTATATCCTGATGACTGCCAAATACCCTCACGCAGGGCCCTGCCTAGGCAGGAGACCTGCTCCCTCACAGGACACCTGCATTCCAGTGTCTCAGAAGAGCCAGACTGTGCCTCTCCAAGTGGTTCACTTCACTCCTTCTGCCCAGGATGGGGTTCTCTGCTGGTCTTCCCATCTCGATAAATGGCACCACCACCTGAGTGCCACCTCAGCTCAAAACCTCAAGTTTACCCTGAACTCCTTTTGCTCTCTCTAAGCCTCAATGCACCACGTCCCTGGTCCTCCCTATACATCCTCAGGAAAGAAACTCACACCCACTCTCCTTCTCTTCACCTTTGCTTCCTGGCCCCAGTTCTCGCCCCTCAGTTCTGCACAGTCACCTTCCTGACAAATCCAACGATGACCCTTCTCCACCTCACAGCCCATGGGGTCCTTGATGATCCCACTGCCTCCCAATGTCCCTGGCCTCTTCTCTGAGCGCTGACACCTCTCGCTTCCAGTGCCACACACTCCTACCAGGTGGAGGTACGTGCAGGTCAGGTGGAGGTATGTGCAGGCTTGTCCTGTTCCCAGGTGGCTCCCTCCACCTGGCTGAAGGCTCAGTTCTTCCAGAAGACCCTCGCAAAGCCCATGTAAGGGCTCTGTTCTCTGCCCTGGGCACTTTGTGTCACCTGACAGGGGACTGCTGGCTGTGTGTGCACCCCTCACTTCTCTGCATGAGACAGACAAGGGCAGGAAGGGCACACAGGCGAGAGAGAGAGAGCAGACGTCACAGGAAAATGGACTGTTTCCTTGTCTCTATCCTCCAGATCTATCTTCTCTAGATTGTTTTCGTGCAATCTACCTTTCAGTGTTTGCAAAATGGAAATATCTATCCACTGACCAAGTGCAAAAATTGTTATTTTATGACCATGTTTAACATGTTTCAGTGCAGGGAGAGAGTCTGGCCTTGTAGTTAGATGAACTTGGCCCACAGCGTGCTCCACCACTAACTAGCTGTGTGACCTTGGTCAAGGTATAACGTGTCCTAATGCCTGGTTTCTCTCATGGGGTTGTAGTTTAAGTAAACCAACTAGTGCAAGTACCAGATGTTATCATAGGAATAAAGTGTTTATAGAAAGCTCTCAAGACTGGGTTCTAGTCCATGAGATCACGAATGACTTAAATCCCAAGTTCCATGAAACCGTTATGATGGCATCCCCATTTGTACTTGATAAGAGGCACAGCCCAATGAACAGATGGGTTAAAGTGGCAAAGTTGGGGGATACTTGGAAGATAAGGAGTCATTCCGGAGAAGAGAAACCCAGCACATACAGAAATGGCTTTGCCCAGCCTGCTGGGAAGAGCGAGAGGAGAGTGGCAAACCCGAAGAGACTCACCTTTGGTTTCACATATCATCACGTTGCTGAACTCACTCTCCCCTCCTTCATTGAAGCACTGCATCTTAATGTCATAGGAGGTCTCTGGCTGTAGGTGGCTGATGGAATGCCAGTATCGATCCCCTGGGGGAGAGACCGAGAGAGTCAGATGTGGTGATCATGAATGTGTTTGCTCAGTCCCCACTGGAGGTGATGTTCTGGATGCTGGCCCATGGTATCCTGTTGTCCCATCACCCTGGGAAGGAAGCATGTGGGCCTATGAACCCAATGACCTCAAGTACATCATGAAAGAGCCAACACTACAGGGCATGCTAGCCCAGGTTTTCTCCTTTCACCAGCTTCTGACTCCCCTGAAAATTAGGGGAAACTACCTCACACAGGAAAAACCTCACAAGGGTTTCTCACCTTCCACCATATCCTTCTTGTAGTCACTGTCGTTGTCACTGTCTGTGGGTCGGTAATAGATATAAAAGCCGTGGATTGGGGTGTTGTTGTTACTTGATGGGATATACTGCAGGGAATAAAAAAAAACAAGTTGACAATGAGCAGAGAAATCATCATGTGAGCAGAACCACTGGTGGATGGAAAAATTACCCAGCCTAGAGTTTAAAATTCACTGGGGACCCAGACAGACATTTCTTATGATCTCCAGGCTCTCTGGACAATGACATAGAGATTACTCATTATCTTACGTAGCCTAGGAGTCCCCAGCTTTTAGAGAAACAAACTACCATTTCTTCAGAGTCCCCTCTGAAACTTCCTGGATATTGTAAGGGTGAGCCTCTCTGGCCAATTCCCAGGAACACCTAAGGGGAGGTAGCTTAGGATGAGCCAAGGGAGAAAGGTGATTCCTTCCTGCCCGCACTGCTGTCCACTTCTGTCCAGCATGGAGCTTGGTTTCGTCACTCCGCTGGTAGCTGCACCAGACCACTCACCATCCACTTGAGCATGATGGTGGTCTCATTGACGGCATCAGTGAAGGTGATGTAAGGGCCTGCCACAGGCCTCTCGTACACTCGGCTGCTGTAGCCTGACACCACGTAGGGCCGGGAGGGGGTGCTGGGCTCGCTCTCCCCCAGCATGTTCAGAGCCCGGACTCGGAACTTGTAGGAGGTGCCTGGGGAGAGAGACTCCCTGAACCAGGGGCTGGGAGACACCACCTGCTTCCCGCTCAGCCCATGCAGGCTGAGGACCTAGAGGGATCTTCTGGGCATCTTTCCCCAAAAGCAAGCCCTAAAGGACTCCAGGACTCCCACCCTCATCAGAAAAGAGCCAGGAGGTGGTTTGGGACTATTCATGGAGAGAGGGAGGCAGAAGTAGTGGCTTGTGGGGCTGAGGTAACATGACCAAGAATGGCCACAAGAGCCTGGTGGTGGGTGGGGGACAAGCAGAGAGAAGACCCTCCAAAGCTTTCCTTCTCCTCCAGGGAGCTGGTGGCCACCAGGGGACCAGGAAGGGCAGTTGGCCAGGGCCCTACCTTTCTCTAGGCCTGTTATCTCCACTGAGAGCCGGGAGGGAGGGATGGCGCTGGTGGCTAGAATCCAGTCCCCCACTTTCTTCAGCTTCTTATACTCCACAAGGAAGGATTGGATGGGGAAGCCACCGTTCCCACGGGGAATCCAGGTCACATACACTGAAGTCTCAGAAGCCATGGAGATAGTGGGCCTGTCTGGAGCTTCTGGGGCTGGAGGAGACCATCCATGTGGCAGGAAGGAAGCGGGAGGGAAGAAGTCATGAGAGGGTGGTGGTAATGTGATTAGACTTGGCCTGTTCCTGATGGGAGCCAGCCCCACCCCATAGCCCTCCACCCTGGTGGGAAGGGAGCCAGCCCCACTCCACAGCCCTGCATCCCTGCTGGCTGTATCATATCCCAGGGCTCCCTGGGTCACTGTCTAGGGAGGAGCTCTTGAAAAGTTCCAATCCATTATCTCTTCCTGTGGTCAACCGGGAAGAGGCCAGGAGTAGGCCACAAGGATTCCTAGGCCCCATTCACTGCAGCAGTGAGCCTTCTGAGGCAGTGGGCCTGGGTCCCATTCTGATGCTTGCCGACCCCACCCTCGGGGCTGCTGGGGACTTACGGGACAGGCGGCCATGGTCCAGCTGGCTGCTGCTCTGGGGGCCAGCTCCAGGGTCATCTCTCTGGATCTGCTGCTCCTTGCTGGCCACAATTTCAGGTTTGGGCCGTCGTCCTGGGTAGAAATGGGTTGAGATCAGCACAAGAGAGAATGTGCGTTAGGTCTCTCCTTCCATAGTCTTTTCTGCCTGAAGTTCTACCAGGGTGTCTGACAAGACCATGCAAATAACAGAGGGCATTAGAAGTGTGGTCTGATTTTCAGCTCCATCTGATGGGCATGGAATTGCATGTGGTCCCAAGTGCAAAGGGGGCAAAGGAATGCCAGAGGCCAGCTGGTGCCTCTCCTGACGGGAGGTGGAACCGCAGCCTTGGTAGGGCACATGGACCACAGGGAAGCAGAAGCCAGAAGGAAGATAAAGTTCAAGGTAAACAGCTGGAGCAAAGTGAACAGGGCTTCCACCTGACCTTGTAGGACTACTCAGGCTCACGGAGACCCTAAGCTAGGGGAACACTGGACCCTTACCAGTTCGGAAGGTGACCATGGCTGTCTGGCCTTCGCCTGCACAGTTGTAGGCCGCCATCTCCACCTCATACAAGCTCCCAGGGTCTAGTCTGGTGAGGGTCAGGCGGTGTTGGCTGGCCGGAATGCCAGAGATGGTCCAGTCATCAGAGGAGTTGGTGACCTGCTAGAGAAGGTGGCTGGTATAAGGACCAGCCTCTTGCATGGAACTACAAGCGGCTGTGGTTTACAAGGAAAGCAGAGTTGAGCCCAAGAGGGCAGAAGAAAGGAACAGAGATGGGCCAGGTTGGCAGGGAGATTGGCCCTACAGAAGGCGGACTGGTCCTGCTAGCCCAGGACATCGCCCTTGCTGGGCCAGGAAAGCCAGGCTTCCGGATCCCTCATCTTAACGATCTCATGAAAGAAAACTCAGTGGGGAGGGGCAAAATGCCTGACTGACATTACTTAGAGTTTCTCCAAAGGCTTCTCCCCCTTTCTAAAAACATCCCTATTTAACTTCTTTCTCCTTGATCTGTTGAAACCAAACAGTATCCTCATATTCTAATGAGATGACAATGAGAATAATAAAAATAGCACAAGTGGAAACGGCCACATTTGTTGAGTGCTTGGATGTGCTGGGGCTTCCCTGGTGGCTCAGATGGTAAAGAATCTGCCTGCAATGTGGGAAACCTATGTTCAGTCCTTGGATTGGAACAATCCCCTGGAGAAGGTAATGGCAACCCACTCTGGTATTCTTGCCTGAAGAATCCCCATGGACAGAGGAGCCTGGTGGGCTATGATCAGGTTGCAGAGAGTCAGAAATGACTGAGTGACTAACACTAACTTCTATGTGCTACAACATATAGTTACATGCACCATAAAGCATTTCCATGACAGCAGTCCAAGAGATGGGTGTTAATACTGTTCCCATCTCACAAGTAGGGAGGCTAAGGCTTAGAGGGACAAGTGACTTGCCTAAGACCATATCACTAGTGAGTACAGAAATCCTGGCTTGACTCCAGAAAATAAGCTCATAAATGTCAGCTACCCTAGAAAGTCAGTCTGGGAGCTAGAAAGTCCTGAGTTCATATCCGAGCTGTGTCTCTTACCACACACAGATTACCAGCTGGGTGAAACCCTGAGCAACTTCCCTAATCTTCCCAAAATGAAACAAGTTAAATCTCTCAGCCTATTCTGAAGATTAAACCCGATGACTCACTGAAGCTGGCACACAGTAGGTTCTTAACAAGTACCTGTCCTCCCCCTCTTCCTCCCTCAAGTGAGGATTGCAACCCTCTTTTTTTCTACTCCTGCCTAGATTAGAACTTAAAAACCACGGATGAACCATAACCATCACAGATTACTCTTTAATGGCGTCAATTTCCTAGCTCTGTAAAGTAAAAAATCAAGGAGCTCCAGACTTCCGGACAGGCGTTGCAGAGAGGCTGTTTCCCCCTCCCCCACCCCACCTTTGAGGACACAGCCTTCCTGCCAACTGTGCACATCTCCAAGAGCCTGCTGGGGCCTGAAGCTCTATTCTGCTGAAGGAATTAAACAGCTGGTAGGAAAAGCTCTTATCCCCAAGCAGAATATTCCAAAGTAGAACAAAACCTACTATTCAAAGGCCAGGGATGGTCTGGGCTCATTCATGTCAGGCTTCCAGGATTTGTTCCAAGGGGAGAAGTTTTTACAAACTGAGAATCCCCAGTGGTGCTGGAAAGCCAAACACAGTAGCCCAGGGTCTGCAGATGCACCAGGAAATGAAAACTGGCTTCATGCATGTGAAAAAGTGAAAATGAGATGAATGACTCCCAGGCTCCAGCAAGAGAGGGGGGCTGAAGAAACACAACCCAAAGGCTGATTTTTGCTTTCAAAGTCCTTTCCTGTGTGATGATCTTTATGACAAGTTAGTCCCTCAAGAATGAAACTGCTTTCAAAACATAACTGTGCCTTGGCAATGTCCACCTAACAGTTCCAAGTGCCCCACAGGCCAGATCCCCACAGGAGCCAGGCCCAGCAGGGCCCTGTCCTCTCACTTCCCCTGCGCCCCTTCTCCCTCGGCTTCCCAGTGCTGGCTTCACTTCACTGGGCTCAGAAATGAAAATAAGAAATGGAATGACAATTAGTCACTGTCACACACACTGAGAGGGTGAATGCAGCCTCAGCCTGATGTTTCCGGATCACCTCGTGTGGCCTCTGCCAGCCTGCCTCTTGGGGAGGCAGTTTTATGGCCACCTATTGGCCCGAAAAATATTATTCTTGCTCTCATGCTGGTTCTTGTCTCCTGGGGACCATGAACATTTGGCCTGTCCTGATCTTTGTCTCAAACTCTACTATAGAGGTGTCCAGTTACATGGGGAAATAACGATTAGGACCATAACCTGGGCTCAACAATACTGCTTTCTGTTAAAAACTCATCCACCCCCTCTGCTAGCTGCCTATGAGGCCAGCAGGCCAAGGGTTAATGAGAAACTGCTCCCTCTCACCCCCACCTAGGAGGCAGCTTGGCCACAGGTGCCTCTGTGGATGGGTCCTGACCAGAGGTCTCCAAGAGAGCATGGAAAGGGTGAGAAGAGAGCGACGGGCTGCCAGGGCCCACAGCAGCGGCCCAGATTCTGCAGAGCCTGCACTGTTCCCTGGGCAAAGCTGGCTTGCTTTGGTTTTAGAGAGGGAGGAAAGTTGATAAATGTTTTCAGTTTTCAAGAAGATATATGTTACAGTCATATATCTTCCATGTTTTCTACCAAGTGCAACTAGCACTTTTATAAACAAATAAATGCATAATAAAATCTAGCATTTATGGTACATTAGAAAGTGAAAGTGAAGTCACTCAGTTGTCTCGGACTCTTTGCGACCCCATGGACTGTAGCCTACCAGGCTTCTCAGTCCATGGACTTTTCCAGGCAAGAGTACTGGAGTGGGTTGCCATCTCCTTCTCCAGGGGATCTTCCCAACTCAGGCATCGAACCCTGGTCTCCCACACTGCAGGCAGACACTTTACTGTCTGAGCCACCAGGGAAGTATTGCTTATCAAAAAAGATTTTTAAAAACCATTTAAGAACAATAGTTTTCTACTGTCTAACGGCCTTGGGCCTCCCTGGTGGTTCAGATGGTAAAGAATCCACCTGCAATGCAGGAGACCCGGGTTTGATCCCTGGGTCAGGAAGATCCCTTGGAGAAGGAAATGGCAACCTGCTCCAGTATTCTTGCAGGGGAAATCCTACAGACAGAGGAGTCTGGTAGGCTATAGTCCATGGGGTTGCAAAGAGTCAGACATGACTGAGGGACTAATACTTTCACACTTTTCAATGGTCTTAGGAAGAAAACAGCATGCACCGGGGATAAACAGATATGTTTCCCAGGATATTTTCTTAAAGGAAATGTCCTTCTTTCCTGGGAGCCGCAGGTGAGAGTTAGCCCTGAACGAGGGTGGCAGCCTGGGGGCCCCGTCCTGTCTCAGGGGGCACAGTGTTTAAGAGGACAGGCGGGCCCAGTTCTGTCTCTGATCCCATCAGACCCAGAGATTCCCTGACAGCCCCCAAAACATCCACCTGGACAGACTTCCTTCTGTCAACGAGAAATAGCTGAGGTCTGAACAACACAATTTTTTTTTAGCTCAAATGCCGGCTTGCCAAACCTGAGTCGTGAGGAGTCCTAAGAACTGAGGCAGCATTTTGTAGCCCTCAGAGAAAACACTTGTTCACAAATATTTTTTTTCCTGGCTCTAAAGCTAGCTTGCCACACCAGAGTTCCTGCAGGTATGTACCCAGCAGAGCTTACTAAGATTAAACAATAAAACATCAACAACAAATGGCAGAGGAGAGGAGGGGGGTTGGTTAACAGGAAGTCTATGAACTCCCCTTGGGACTGGAAGCTGGTTGGCAGGCCTGAGACCTAGAGGCACACCCATGGCTTTTTCCTGAGCGTCATAGGGCCCCAACACCCAACTCACAGCCAGCTTCCCGAGAGGTGGTAGAAAAGTACACTGGAGGGCACAGAAGGTTGTAATCAGCCTTGGAGACCACCTGCAGGCTTTAGGAGTTCAATGGGAGATGGACAGGGTGCAGATACCCCAGCCAGCCTCACAGTGAGGTGGCCACAACACCAGATGTCATACCTTGCGGTGTTTCACTACGTAGTAGAGGACCGGTGCCCGGCTGCTGCCCTCATGCCGAGGCCGCCACACCAGTTCGTACGAGTCAGTCTTGGACGTGCGGGGCAAGCTGAGGATGATGGGAGCCTCGGCAGGGGCCACTGGCCCCTGACCCCCGGGACACTGTGGGGAGGCTGGCTGCGCTGATGCTGGGGGCCTCAATAGCCCTGGGTGGCCCTTGGGCATCTGGTCAGGGCTGCCAGGTCTGGAGGGTGGCACTGGAGGTGTGACAGTGGCCGACTGAGTATCCCACCACGGTCTCAGGGTGGTGCCTGGAGGATGAGCAGGAGGGAGAAGGTAGGGACAAGCAGTTAGTCCCCTGGCCGCTTGCTCAGCCGTCCCCCCACAGAGAAAACAGGGAGATAAGTCAGAGGGAGAGCTGCTAGGGCAAGAAGAGCCCTGGGCTGGGTACCTGAGGTGACATCAGTCCCCTCAATACTCTGCCGGGCTCTGTGGGGACGGAAGGCTGTGACCCTGCCCTGCCAGGGTGGAAAGGCAGCCTGAAGGCCCCTCCCAGGCTTCCTGCCACCAGCCTGTTTTCCTCCATTCAAGTGTGTCTTAAGTGAACTATCTCAATTTGCTCTCAAGGTGCTGGGAGCCCTCTTTCTCATATCTGTGAGTGTTTGTGTGTGTGTGGGGGGTGCTATGCGGACATGGCCCCCTCTCACTGTGGGATCTGTACCATGGCACAGTGTGGTCCTCTTCCTGCTCCACTGTGGGGACCTGGAGATGTGAGCTGTGAATGTAAATGTGTCTGAGACTCTCAGAAGTAGGAGGGGCCTCACTCCCTTCAGGAAGGGTCCACGGACTCTGCCAACACTAGTTTCTGTGGAGCCCTATGCCAAGATCACAGGTGTGAAGCCCTGTACCAAGTTCACAAGATAAAAATCTCTGGAACTGACCAAGCTCCATAGCAACTGTTGCCATGGGTCTCTGGATCTAAACCTGCCAGTTCCCTGACCCCATATTAGGTAAAATACCCACCCTATTATCCATCCTATAGCATCCTAACCAATCACTTAATGCCACCATTGCAGTAGGAATTTTCTCTGTCTTGAGGCTATAAAAGTTGACTACTAGCCTGTGAAAGGGTTCGGCTCTCCCTTGAGCTGGCCCACTGTTATAACAGCATCTCCCACTCTAGTAAACTTTAGTCTCCTCTATTTCTGCCTCAAGTCCAGAAATTCTTTTCCACCCTGCACCCAGACCACGACAGTTTTTATTACCTGACCTTCTGCACCACAGGAGGTTGGCTCCTGACTCAGCGTTATTCCTGGTTGTATTTTTCTCCAGTTGATTCTTTGATAAGTTTTATTTCCTTCCTAGGAACTTTCTTGAGGGCAGAGTGTTTATTACATTCTCTGCATCCCCCACATTGCCTAGACCAGTGCTGAGCAAACAGCAGTTCAATCAGTGTAGACCAAAACATACTAGCCTGTTAACTTATATGGAGATGCTTGGTCTTTGCCGAGCAATTATTAAAATTATGATCTACGCACATGTCAGCTGAAATGAATCAAGCTAAGAAAGAGAGACATGCTTTGCTTTGTGTTAGACCAGTGGTTGTCAAACTGGATTCTATGGAACTCTAGGAACTCAAGAGATTCTGAAAACTAAAAGTTTTTAATACAGTATTTAAATAGGTTATTTGCACTACTGAAAATCTGCACTTCTGACTTATTAGTAAGTTAATGTAAATTTGAACTTAACTGTGTTAGTTGCTCAGTCGTGCCTGACTCTGTGACAACGACTGAGCAACTAACATTATTAGTTGTAAGTTCAAATTTATATTAACTTACTAACAAGTCAGAAGTGCAGATTTTCAATAGTACAAATGAACCATTTATATATTATATTTAAAGCCACTTTATTTATTGTATACACAGGGGTTTTAAGTTGGATTTAAGTTCTGTAAATGTTTAGCTGGAGTCCCAGTCCCTTGGACTGCACTCACCTGGCCTGGCGGTCTTCAGCTGGACCACAGCATGGGCGCTCCCAACCTCATTCTCAGCCATGCACTGGTAGACACCTTCATCCTCGGGCCCCATGCTGACCACCCACAGGGCCCGATGAGATAGTCGGAGGCGCTGGCTGGAGGTGAGGGGCACAGCGTTCCTCAGCCACAGCACAGAGGGCGGGGGGTTCCCACGCACCTCACAGGTGAGCTTAGCGCTCTGGCCCCAAGGGATGACCAGCTGGGACAGCTCCATGGTGACCTCGGGGGGTTCTGCCAAGAAACCAGAGCAGAGATAAGGAAGGCAGAGTCCTTCAACTCGGCCCAGACAGGCTGGGGAGGGGACTGCTGTGGGGAAAACCTTCCTCCTTCCCCATGACACTCGTAGAGGAGAGGAAAGGCCCCACAACTCCTCCATCAGAGTCACACTGGGAAGGACTGCCAGCCCCTACATCCTGGTCCCTGGGAGCCAAGGCCTCAGTTCTTCCCCACTCACTCACTCGGCATGTGATCTCTCAAAAGGCATGTGACCCTATCTGAACCTTGCTTATGAGCTTCTAGAGAGGCTATGCAGATAAGAGATGGTCAAGGAGAAGAAGGTCTGCAGAAGGCACTTACCAAACACCTGGACATTATAGAGGATGACCGCGGCCCCGGGCTCCCCAACCCCATTGTCGGCCATGCAGCAGTAGGTCCCAGAGTCCTCCTCACTGGTGGTGTCGATGAGGAGGTTGCTCAACAGGAAACGTGTCTTGTTGTAGCTGGCAACACTGGAGCCATCCTTGGCCCAGGTAACCCTCGGGGGTGGGATCCCGCTGGCCACACACTCCAGGATGAGACTCTGGCCTTTGGTGACAACAATGGTCTGGGCCTCTGGTGGATAGATGATGCGGGCAGCCTCAGCAGTGGAGCCTGGAGAGTCGAAGAGAGAAAGGACCGTGTATGGGACCAGGATGGGGTGCAGAGGATCCCCTCCACCCTGCTTTGGGTAGCCCAACCCCAGGAGGCAGCCTGGAAGGTTGGAATTGGAATCAAACAGCTTGGTGGTGAGCATCCTGCTGGGCTGAGTGGGATAGATCTTTAAATCTATGGTTTGTGTGTGTGCTAAGTTGCTTTAGTCGTGTCCGACTCTTTGCAACCCTATGGACTATAGCCCGCCAGGCTCCTCATTCCATGGGATTCTCCAGGCAAGAATACTGGAGTGGTTTATCATGCTCTCCTCCAGGGGATCTTCCTGACCCAGGGATGAAACCTGCGTCTCTTATGTCTCCTACACTGGCAGACAGGTTCTTTACCACTAGTGCCACCTGGGAAACACTTTCTGGTTTAAAGAAATGCATTTCTCATATCCAAGAGCCGATCAAGTATTTCATCAGTTGCTCAGCTGAGGAAGCAGAGAGCTTTTTTTAATGTGAGGTAGAAACTGCACAGAACTGATGGAGAGGAGTGCTGCTCTCCTACATGGGACCTTTCTTAGAACCCCACAAGAAGCACACTAAGTGTAATATTTCTTTACACACCAACCAAGGGCAGCTCCAGCGTTTGTTAAGATCTGAAACTTACACAGCTGGGAGTCCCTCTTGAAGAAAAATACATTATTACAGACACAAAATTAGGTGAGCAGAGGACCCACTTAAGTTTTGCTTCATTAGTTTCATGGTAAATCTGCAACTGGTGCCAATTCTAAACTCTAATTCCACGTAAGATGTCACTCTACTGAATACCACGGGAACCTGGAAAAACGCCTGCCGCACAGGACTCGCTCAGCCAAGGCAGCCGTTGTTCTCACAGAAATAGAGAGTGACGTGGGCCTCCAGGGATTGTCCCCAGAGAGAGATGCTGGGCTTCTGCAGTGCAGACAGAGGAGTGCAAGGCATGCCTGGTGGCCTCACACAGGCACAAATGCTCCTGTCATTTGTCCTGCCCCCAAACACACATCCCAACCCGTCCCCCTCCTCTGAAAGTACCACAGTGGAGGAAAGCTCTCAACAGGCAGGAGTCAGACGACGTCCCTCACAGGGCGCTGACACGACCAGTGAGCTGGGCCACCCCTGGCTCCTAACCAAGCCCGAGGGCCAGGAGCAGAGAGAGGCTGGCCAGAAGGAGAGACCTCCCACCGCCGCTGAATCCCGAGTCCAGGATGTCTCACCAGCGGCCCCCGCCCCCATCAGCGAGACCCGCCCCTTACGGCGCACGCGCAGCCTGTCGCTGGAGCCTGAGGTCTTCACTTCCTGCGTCACCGGGTTGTAGGCGGCGCACTTGTACATTCCCTCATCCTCCTGGCTGGCGTTCACGATCTGGAGGTTCCCCGATGGCATGATCAGGTAGTTATCTGAGGAGAGGACAAGGCAAGGGGTGAGTGTGGGCCCAGAACAGTGCACCCAGCAGCTCCCACAAAGGTTCAGGGCAGGTAGGGCAGAAGCCAGGAGCTGACCCGAGTCCCAACAAGTCCAAACTGAAAATGCTACTCTCCCCGTGAAACCTCACACCAAGTGGTACAGAAGTGCCAGGAGTGACATTACACAACCAGCTAACAAACTGGCTAGCTGACACCCCACCACCACCCTGCGTTTGTACGCAGGCCTGTGGAGGAACAATTCTTATTTTCAAGGGTGCCCAAGAAGCACGGAAAGGAAGCAGGATTTGGGATCTGCCATATACTAACTGTGTGATCTTGGGCAGGTTAACCTCTCAAATCCTGTTTCTTCACTTGTAAGATGGCGTGATGTATGCTGCCTCAGACACTTTTGTTAGGACCGAGAGGCCGTGCTGCATACACGGGATATGAGCTGATTATTCCTCCAAGGCACCAGGAAGGAGGGAATTGCCTTCAGAATTTCCCATCAGTCTTTGTCATGGTCACAACTCTGAGCCATCTCACTGCTGAACTTCTACAGCCAAGGAGGAATATTCTAATCCCCAACCCTAGCCCTCTCCATGAATACCTTGGAAGCCCTTCCCTCTGCATCACTGACCTGTTAGGCTCTGTCTGCTTTCGCATCAAGGTGTCACAGGGGTGGGGTCCCAGGGCTGAGTTCAGCCTCTGTCCGCAGGGGACAGATTCATAGTATCTGCACACCTGGCAACTAGGATAGTGTTTGGCTTCCTGACAGGCAAAGCACTGGTCATCAGCTCTGAGCTTTCTGGTGGCCTGCCCTTGGTCATCTGGATGTCCCTGCAATTTGGCTCGTTGAATCTGGTGCCTGCCTGTCACTGGGCTGCCCCAGATGTGAACTGCTTAAGCAAATGCCAAATAGGAAGGAAAAAGACCTTGATTCTTGTAGGATGGGCAGGCCTCCTCTAGGGGCCACTGCCACAGACAGTAGACATTCATACTCTAATCTCTGGTTATTTCTGAGTGGCAGGATTAGACTTTTGATCTTTTAAAAAATACTTTTTTGTGTTTTCTATAGTAAACATATACTCCTTACATAACCAGAAAGTTAACAAAAATATTTAAAAATTTCTAGGACATTTTAAAAGGTATACATTTGAGGTGTAGCGTCCAGCCATAGGGTCTACTTGGCCTTAAGTGCAGGTCATCTGTGGGAGGAAGTGCCCTGTGGGCACTCTGCGGATGAACACTCGGTCTCCCCTGGACCAGCTGTCATGCCCACCATGGCCTGAGCAGGAAGCTGTGATGGCTGCAACACCAGGAAGACAGGGAGAGGGAAAACCTCAGATTCCACTAGAGAAACTGCTCTACTGTGCAGGGAAGAGCCCCGCCTCCCACCAGGGAGCCCACAGCTCTAGGAACATCTGGCTCATCAGGCAGTCTTCTGGTGCGTGCCTGGTGGCAGGAAGAAGGCATGGGGAGGGTCTAGAACTCTGAGCTGAGAGCTCTGATCCAGTGGCAACAGCTCAGCAACATCTGGCGGGGCCTCAAAGGATGAGGAGATTCCTTGTGATAGGTTCAGGGGACCTCCACTCTGAGGCCCTTCAGAATCCCGCAGAGCTGCATCTTAGGGTAGTAGATGGCTGAGGGGAGGGTGCTGTGGGGCATTGACAGGGTTTGGGAGGCACTGTAGAGGCACTAACTTCCCTTCTGGCCCCGACCTCCAGGCTCCTGCTTGTTTACTCACCCCGGGAGGCCTCCAGCCACTCCTGTTTGACACTGTACCGGACCTGGGCTTTTGGATGGCTCTCGGGAAGGTGGCAGGCGATGACCGCTGTGTTCCCCTCATCGACTTCAATCACGTGCTGCACATCTAACTTGAAGTCCTGGAGATCTGTGGAGAGAAGAGAAGGAGCTGGTTGGGCCTAGATAGAAGAGAGAGGTGAACAGTGAGCTGTTTCAGGCTGGGCTTGTGCCTCAGTGTCTTTAGTCACAGTCGACAGCTGCAAGAACCTCACACGTTGAGGAGTCCTCTGGGGGTGCTCTGAGTCCTTCCTCCAGCCTTTTGTGGTCTAGAATTTACAGGAGGGAATGTGTGGCTTGCATCACTGCATGTGAGTACAACTGGGTGTATATAAGCTGCCGGTGGGTAAGTGTAGAGAATTCTATTAAGTGGTGCCTGTGACACAGACCAGCCTCTTCTCTTACATTGACCTAAGGCAGCCAGGAGCCTAGGCCCATTGGCCACACTGAACCTGGCTAGAAATGGATCATGGTCAAGGCACAAATGTCCTGGCACAGCTCACAGAGACCGAAAGGAACAATGACAGAGAATGCTTATGTCTTTTTTCCAGTTCAGTCAAGAATAGCCTTCTAATCAGACATCCACATCAAAAAGTGAAAGGCCTGATATTCTGCTTAATGGCCAAACATAGTTACAACCAGAAGGCTGATTTCTGCTATGTACAAGCTATGTGGTCCTCCCCCAGTATCCTTGGGGATTGGTTCCAGGTGCCCCAGTGGCTACTAAAATGGAGATACTCAAGTCCCTTATATAAAATTGTGTTGTACAGTGCTTATAGTCAGCCTACGTAACCTTGGGTTTCCCATCCACAGAAACTAAGAGCCGACAGTATGTCATGTCATGGCTAATTCTGTCTCTGGGCTGGGGATGGAGATTGTGGATACCCAAAGGGTTTTCTAAGGCAAAGAGGAATGTCCCCAGTGGGGTTTAATGGCAGTGGAATGCAGGGGAACCGAGGTCCTGACACCAGGCTGCAGTCTCTTCTAACTTGCCTTGGTGGCAGGAAGATGGGATTTAAACTGGATTGGATGGAGATTCATCTGGAACAAGAGCAGGATGTTTCCCAAACAATCCAACAGCCCACACAACAAAACTCTCTTTGTTTGAAGCCAAATCACTGATGTCCCTGAACAAAATGGGCTATTTGTGCAACAAAACCACATGCCAGATTCGGTTTTCAGGACTGTAGCTGAATTTAAGACAGGAAATAAAACTAATAGAGAATAAGATAAGAGAGATGAAAATATTTACCCAGACTCTCCCCACAAAGGTGCTTAGAAAGCCCTGGAGGCACCCTCTCTGAGTGCTGACCACACCACATTCTACTCAGCTCTTGAGAACTGATACCATCACACTGTAACTGCAGTTCACTCCACCTGCCTGTGTGGTTTGTTCCCAGAGAAGGCAACAGCAGTAGCTGGAAGTCAGGTTTCTCACAGAACACATGAGGTAATTACCAAAAACAAACTACTGTCACCAAGGAGAGCCCTGTGATCATGGCGCTCAGCGAGGTCAGGAGGTTTCCCACTTAACGCAACTTTCTAGAAGCTCTTAGTGAAGTCAAGCCAGAGCCACAGGAAAGCCCTTTTATTTCTATGAAAGGATCATTGCCCCTTTGATTCCAATATTCAACTGTGAACTTTTTAGGGTCACAGACCACGTCTTGTTATCTTGTCCTCTGGCCTAAGTAGATGCTCAGTGAATGCTAGATGACCAAATGAATGATTATCTTGGAGCTGGGCCCCTCCAGTCAGGTACAAGATGCCCATGAATGTTATTTTGTGAACTCAGATTTTGTAGTTGAGCTGGGTTGACATTATGAGCTCAAGGGCTTAGCGCAACAAATTTTCCATCAACTGTTTATCCAAGTGTGGCCAATCTTTATCTAAGTGTGGATATTTTGAAAATAGAATGTTTCTGAGTTGTTTACTTCCAGGGTCACAGGAAAGAGGTAAAACAGGTCTAATAAATGTGAAATAAGAAATACATGTTGTTAGGATAAATGGCAGCATAGAAGACCTTGAGCTCACCTCCTCCCATGAAAATACCAAAATCACACCTAACTGCTGAACAACCATCAATAAAAAAAGTCTGGAACCTACCAAAAAAGATATTCTACATCCAAACACAAAGAAACCACAACAAGATGGTAGGAGGGGCACACTTGAGATATAATTGAATCCCATATTCCCAAGGTGGGCAACCCACAATCTGGAGAATTATTTTGTCAAAGAAATTCTCCTATAGGAGTGAGAGTAGAGTACTGAGGTCATGGCAGGCTCTCCAGCTTGGGAGGTCTGGTATGATGAGCAGGAGCCCCCAGAGCATTTGGCCTTGAAGGCCAGTGGGGCTTGATAGCAGAAGTGCCACAGGACTTGGGGAAATCGAGATCCATTCTTGGAGGATGCATACAAGGTCTCATGCACACCAGGACCCAGGACAAAAGTAGTGACTTCACAGGAGCCTGGCCCAAATCTACCTGCTGGTCTTAGAGGGTCTTCCAGGGAGGTAGGAGATGGCTCTGGCTTTCTCTTAGGACATAAAAGCTGGTGGCGAACATATCTAAGAGTACTCACCTGAAGGCTGACATCTTGTTGGGATATTAAAACTGGGACCTGACCCCACCCAATACTTTTAGGCTCCAGTGCTGGGACACCTCACACCAAACAACCAACAGGGTAAGAACACATGGTCCCACCCATCAGCAGGCAGGTGGCCTAAAGACTTCCTGAGAGGCTTCTCTGGTGGTCCAATGGTTAAGAATCCACCTTGCAATGCAAGGGTCGCGGGTTGGATCCCTGGTTGGGGAATTAAGATCCCACATGCCTCAGAGCAGCCACTGCACCTGCACACACAGAGTTTGTGCACTGCGTGGTCCCATATGACTCAGTGAAGATCCTAGGCACTGCAACTAAGACCTGATGCAGCCAAATAAATAAATGTTTTGAAAATAAAGATTTCCTGAGCACACAGCACCTTTAAATATGGTCCTGACCCCCAGAGGGCGAAGACCCATTTCCACCCACCAGTAGACAGGCGCCAGACCCTCCCACTAGAAAGCCTGCAGAAGCCTCTAGCCCAGAGTCACACACTGGGAGGGCAGACACCAGAAAGCAAGAAAAATACAATCACACATCCTGTGGAACTGAGTCTGCAGACAGGTCAGAACCTCCCCCTGGGACCTCCTGGTCCCTGGCCATAGGGTGACAAGAGGGGAGGGTAAGGCTGAGATACATGGGAATCCCCTACAGAGGGCCACTTCTCCAAGGTTGAGACACATAACTAACCTTCCACATACATACAAACATAGGAATCCCCTACAGAACAAATGAGTGATGTGGAGACAGGCAATCTACCAAGAAAGAGTTCAGAGCATTGACTCTAAAGATGATCCAAGAACTTGAGAAAAGAATGGATGAGAAGTTACAGGATGCTTTTTAACAAAGAATTAGAAAGTAAAAAGCACAACCAGAGTTGAAGAATACAATAACTGAAATGAAAATAACACGAGAAGAAATATATGCTATTCACCAAGTAGTATGGTAAAAATGATGACAGAATATATGGTTCATTTCTATAGCCCCATTTCACTTTCCAGGCAGAACACAAGTGGTTCCTGTGGGTCAAGGTGAGATCTCTCATGGATTCCTTCCTTTGGGAGGGTATGGAGCCTTCTGGGTTTTTAAGGAATCATCTCATCATTATTTAATTTTGTGTTGGTGATGATGGTTTAGTCTCTTAAGTCATGTCTGACTCTTGCAACCCCATGGACTGTAGCCTGCCAGGCTCCTCTGTCTATGGGATTCTCCATGGACAGAATATAGGAGTGGGTTGCCACTTCCTTCTCCAGGGGATCTTCCCGACCCAGGAATCGAACCTGGGTCCCCTGCATTGCAGGCAGATTCTTTACCAACTGAGCTACGAGGGAAGCTGAGGGAAGCTGCGTTGGTGATATCCAACCCTAACTAAATTGAAAATTCCCAGTGGGCAAACTTTCAATTTTGCACTCTATGCCCCAGCCCCAAGCCCCACTACACAGTCTTCAGGAGGTACCACATTCATTGAGTCCTTGTTGAATAAAGTTTGAAAGACAGTGCTCAAGGTCAGCTTTGTCGGCATGCAACCTGTGCAGCTGTGCCAGGCCCCTCACTTGGAAGAGGCCAACGCTTGGTTTAATGCTCTGCTATCACTGCCTTGACATTTTAAATAACATTTGATCAAGGGACCTCATATTTTCACATTGCACTGAGCCCCCCAAAACCCATAGTCCAGTCCTGGCTGAACCTCTCATCCAAGAAAGTGGATGCATTTTCTCTCAGTGAGGAGGATGGTAGACTGTGGGAAAGGGTGAACAGCCTGTGCTCTGGGATTTCTAGCTGGATGTTACTACCTGCTTTTCATAAGCAAAGTACCTCAGCAATGAAAAAGCCTTAATCCTCCTCAGTACAGCATACCTGCCAAGTCAGGAGACTCCCCACAGAGAGAGCAGTGAGCATGTGAGCTCAGGGGCATCTGGAAAATTCCTCAATCACTGAGAAGCATGTGTCTTGCATGGTCTAATAAATCTAAAACTACTCCACCAAGAGTTTTTGAGTTTTTGTTTCACCTTCTTCCTTTACTTCATTCCAAGAAAATCTGCCTCAAGCAAGAATATACTTAAGCCTAACAGCATTTTGCAAGAAAGATATGAGTAACTGAAAGGAGTCTGGCATCAGAATGCCATTTCCAGCTTAGCCCCAGGCTCCTGCCCCCTGTAACTGAAAACTTATCTGTGCACAGAGCACATTCTCCTCCATGTACACACCTCACTGACTCAAGACTGGAAAATGCTACACACCCCTAGTCCCCTCTGGGGGCCTTCTGTGCATCCCCAGGATTTACTGCTGGGTTGGAGACAGTGGGCTGTGCAGTGAGGGAGGCACAAAGCTGGGCACTGGTCAGCCGGGCAGCCAGACAGCCCTCCTGTTCTGATGCCAACACGTGCACAACAGCCCAGGCAGGCAGGACCCAGGACACCCCTCCCCACAAGGGCCGACTGGCAGGCAAGCCTACTGGCTTCAAAACAAGTAAGCAGCAGTTGGGTCCCGGGC